CCCTGCAGGAGCAGCGTCCGGCCCTTACGGCCCCCGATGTCCCACATGATGACGCTGTGGTCAGCGGCCCCGGAGAAGAGCAGCCGCTGGATGGGGTCCCACCACAGAGCTCCGATACTGCCTGGATGCAAACAAAACGACAGTTAGCACTGATGGCTCCAGCAGAAAGCCTGTTCAGCCACCTGCTGGCGCCACCCAGTGGCAGCGGGGAGAACTGCAACCATCCCCAAGCGCCACTTCTACCAAAACCTGCTGAATCCAGCATGAAAACCACCCAACTTCAATCAATATCTCTTTTCTTACTTTAAAAAAATCACTCAACACCCATTTAATCCAAACAAAATTTGAAACTTAACACAATTTAGTTAAACAAAGGTGAAAATAGGTCAAATTGGTGAAAAAAGCTCAATGCTGCACGGCCATTAGTGTTGGAGTATAGATTGTTGAGGGAAATAACCTGATAATAAATAATCTATAACAATCAAGAACAACTCAATACTTTAAATAAGTTGACAAACTGAGGGAAAATCACAGAGTAGCACAGGGAGAAAGGGGGTTGAAATGTTTTTTTTCCCCGACTGCTGATGGAACAAATCTGCCAAATCTAATTAGAGCAACAAAGAAAAAAAACTGATCTGGGAGGGAAAGCCACACCAGGCTCTGGCTAATCAGCTGACCAAACGAAAGCAGCTAAGTGTGTTGTTTGATCATTACCGATTTCTTTTAGAGGCCGAAAATGACAGTTCAGTCTCCTAACATTAGTTAGCAGACTATTTCTAAAAATTTCTGCGTATGGTTTGCTTCACACGCAAGACCATAAACATAAACATGAATACTGAATTTGATGTCATCTCACAATGGCAGATATCCTTTGATGATAGGATCAGGTTGCCCTGGTGGCTCATCTATGATGGTGCTCCTTAAGCCTGGTCCTCAGGGCCCAAAGGCCTCCAGGTTTTAAGCACACTTGACGCTTAAGGAGCACCCATCTATGATTCATGGTGTGTCCAGCTCTGCCATTTACCTTCGTGACCCTTCAACGTGGTGATGATGGAGTAGGTCTGCTTCTCCAGCTTCAGCAGAGTGATCTGTCCCGAGAAATCGCCCACGAACGCGTGCTGCGTGTCGTGATCGTATCTGAGCGGGGGAGTCAGGGCTGGAACGTCACGGTCCTGCGTGTGTGCGCGCTTGTCTGGGAAAAACCGCAAACCGTTCTGAAAAAAGGATACTGCAGGCAGGAGGCCCAGGCGGTGAAGTAGTGCCTGCCCAGCATGCTGCCGCTCTGCGTGCACATCCAGCTCACGCTCTTGTCGTGGCCCGTGCTCACCACCCACTCGCTCTCCAGGGAAAACACCATGTCCGACACGCGGTTCTGGTGGGCTGCGAAAGGCAAGGCACACGTCACACACCCGAGAAAAAACCCACACTCCACCAGCTCCAAGAAATATCCGAGGAAGCCAAAAGGGAGATTCGGGCTTCCCTGCTGCAGAGAGCTGAGGGGAAAACACAGTGGCCATCACTGTGGCCGTCCGGCGTCAGTGAGAACCGATCGGCCAACCAACAGGACACACACACACACACAGGCACACACACACACACACACAGCATCATAGCAGCACCGTGTTTGACCTGGGACTGGGACGGAAGTTCTAAACCTGGTGAAACCTCCCGTATCTCCTCGGCTCTGTTCAGGACCAAAGTGGAGAGAAGCTCCTCTCCTGCTGGACTGTGCGGTCACTCTCAGCTCATTTCACACCAAAGATAGGCTGACCTCTGGATTCGTACAGGATACTAGCGTGCTTCACACACACCAGAGGGTTTAACCGTGTCCCAGTTTGGTTTTTATGTCTGCCTGCCTGTCCATCACATGCAGCATAACACATACGACCCTGTCCTGTAACGTCCCGCCTCACTGACCCTGGTCAGGATCATTTTACGCCCGCCTCGTCCAGCTGTGTGTGTGCGGCCCTGACACAGAGCTCTGTCTTCACAGAGAAGAGCTCTCACATGCCGGCACATGTCTGGAGCCTCTAGCCATTTCCTGTTAAGCCGCTGTCCAAAAAAAAAAAAACCCATCCAAAAAAAAAAAACTGAACCAAGTGTCAGTTTCAGGTGTCATTTCTGCTGAGTGACCTGGTTTAGAGAGAGTCCCTGATCAGGGAGGAGCTGTGTCCTCAGGCCAGCAGTCCTCTGGTGCAAACGGCAGACACTTCTGTCTAATGCAATCGCTTCTTTCACATTTCCTGTGTGCTCACGCCTCCTCTGGATCAGGTCAGCTTGAGAGTGTTCCCAGAGAGGTGAGGGGTCACAGTCAAGAACCCTACTGGACCTGGGAGAGCCAGCTTAAACGGGGTCCTAGCTGGAGACTACACTTAATGAGTCTGTGGGGGGGGGCTCACTAGTGGCCTGGCCACCTCACCCGTTCATCTGTAGATTTCTATCTCTAGATTTCTATTAGATGAATGTTTCACTTAAAGAGACAGAAACTAAAAGTCAGGGTTTACGTTTGTAGGAGTTAATATGTGCGCATGATCGGATCGGAGTTCTTGAACTTAAATGTGCCTTGTTGCTTGTTAAAACGCTGTTAATTAGCTTATTTTGTATGAAAAGTGCTATATGAATAAGGTTTGATTGGATTTAATAACAGGAAAGTTAAGCGGTTAATAAATGAGATGGAATATTTTCTCTAAGAAAAAGCTCAGGTTTTGGTCTGCGCCTTGTTTGTTTTGGTGGTATAATTTCACATTAAAGTGGCTGTGAGGTCCTTGAGTAGTAAAAGCAGGACTCAGTAGCTCCAAGAACAACAGCCCAACGACAGCAGGCCACCTGTTTGACCATATCCAGCACGCAAATACCAAAGTGAGGAACCAAAGCGTTCCACACCAGCAGAACGAAACAAACAGTGAAGGACATCATACTCAGCATCAGAGGTAGGGATGTCCCGACCCAGCTTTTTGCACTTCCGATCCAATCCCGGCCTATCAGAGCATGTATTAAAGTTTAAAGTTATTTATCTACTTATTTAGTCGTCAGACTCATGTTGAACAGAGATTTACTCTGATAACAACTTAGTGGTTAAGACACAGACCTGTGGGTTAGGATATACTAATGCTCCTTTGGGATCAGACTTTTTTTTTTTTTTTTAAACTGGATCGGCATTTTCTCATGCCGGCCGATACGCTTTTTTTTTGCAAATATCAGATCGGGACAAGCCTAATCGCAGGTGCCTTTATAGAGTAGAGAATCCCGTGGGATGGCGAAAGCTAACGGGAAAGCAGCCGAATCCAAACACACAAGAGCTCGAAGAGTTCGATCCGGCGATACGGCCGCACGGTCCGCAGGGCGGGATAAATCCCAACTCCGGCTGGGAGCCGTTTTTATCCGACAGTGACCCTTCCACCCCTGACAGTGACCCTTCGCCCCGACGCCTCACCTGGGTACGTTTTCACGTGGCTCATCTTGTTGAAATCTTCTGAGATGCCGAACTCCTGCGAGAAGGAAACACACACACACACGTTCATGCAGAAACCTGATGCAAACACCCCCACTACCCCCACCCATCCAAAATGCCTGTGGAGAGACCGGTACTGGAATGTCAAAGAGCTACGGCCGGACTCACCACAACAGCTCCGTTGTCCTGGCCGATGAAGATGCGCCTGCTGTCGTGGTGGTAGGACATGCAGGAGCAGGGGGCTGAAGCAGAGAGAAAGGGGGGTTCAACAGGCAAGCAATGGGGGGGTGCCCTGGTCAGAGGGGCTCACAGGCCAACGGGCTTACTTACAGGACACCGTGTGGTAGATGCTCGGCCAGTACTGACCGCTGTCCCGCTTCAGCCACACCCGGATGGTCCTGAGGAGGGGAGGGGGGGGGGGGGTGCGAGAGCCGTTAGTCAGAGCCTTTAGCGTCAATTAACCTCATTCTGGAGCACGTTTAACCCACGAAAATAACACGCGAGGGATATCAGGCTGCGCGCGTGCGGTAGCCACGCGCCCCCGGGGGTCCCGGAGGCTCCCTCCGGCGGGCTGAGGAGGCTGGGCCCGCCTTTCGGTCCCCTCCCTCCGGCCGGTAACCCGGGCCCCGGTAACCTGGCCCCGGGCTATCCGCCGGACAGCACCGCCCGTTTGGCCGGAGGCGACACGCCGAAACCGGGGCTCAAACCTCGACCCGAAGTCCTGTCATAAAGTGGTGCAGTTTGTTCGCCTCCGTTTAAAAACACCGTCTAAATAGGAGCTTTTAAAGCGACGGTAGCCGCTATGAACTAGTGCTCATTTCTCAACCGTGAACCGAAATAACCCCAAACACACCGTCCTTCCTCTGTTTCCGTTTCCATTCCCACGCCAGCAGGCCAATAAAAATATGAGCGTAGCGACCAGCAAATAGACCGAGCCCGCTAGCCGCCGAGCTAAGCTACCGTTAGCCTGCTCGGCGGACTCACCTGTCCTCGCCGACCGTGATAACGCCGTCCTCTTTCGGTATCAAAACGGCAGCGTTGACGGTGTCCGAGTGACCCTCGATCTTGTTCAGGAGAACCGGTCTGGCGGTCTGGGGCCTCGAATGAATCTCCGCAGCCATGGTTTCAACCCGGAGCGGCAGTGTTTTCCCTTCAGATGGTTTTCCTCCTCTCGCCAGCGGATCAGCTGACACCCGAGCCTGTCAGGATTACCGTAATCACCCCAGCAAGGCGCACGCACGCATTCACAGGCGAGCCTCCTCAAGTATTAAGGAAGTTCGGTAAATAGCTGTAGATTGTAAAAGTGATAACCGACTCCTGCCATGCTTATGGAATGTTCTTGTGGGGATCATTTTAGGCTGTCAGCTCATAGAACTGTACTCTCTAACAGCGCGTGTCAACAGTCTGCCTTTTACCAAAAAAAAAAAAAAAAAACGCTGCGCAGATCTCCTCTGACGTCATCAGGTCCACGCAGAGGAAGGCAAAGTGTTATCTTTAGATCACTTTTGGCCCACTTAACACTGGTCAGTACCATAACTGGACCACATTAGTGTCACGCCAATAGCTCAAATGAGTATTTTCTTCTAACCTAAAAGACTGACTTTTCTTTCTTTGAATGCAGTGCTAGTTTCACCTTGTGTGTCCACGTTACAGCCTGGAAACAGATCCTCTGACCCACTAAAAGCCTGAACCGCTGAGATTTTTTAGAAGATTTATGGAAAAGTTAAAAAAGCATTCACTGAAAAAAACCTAGAGAGCTTTGAAAATCAATACACTTCAGTAGAATGTGTTCAAATGTCACATGTGTAACTGTTTATGTTCACTATCCTGACTTCACTACCCAGACACAAACACACAACTTTATAAATATGTGCATTTATTTTATCCAAATGTGAAACAAGTACAACAGAAGACCTCCTCTGCGAGGGGAAGATATTCTCCAAAGTAGTCGTCGTAAGAAAAGACCATAAGATGCATATCGACATGACTTGGGAGAGAAATGCAACACATGCTGGAGTTACGGGATTTAAGATGGAAATTAAAATTGGCGATAAATAAACTGAACGGTCTACTCCGAAGTTGAGAAAAATCCACAACTGACATTCAAAGTCTCTTAAAAATGTAATAAAGTCAAAAGAGTTTACAAAAAAATTAAAAGAGCAGAAAAAATTTTAGTCTGCAAAAAACATTTTCTACAGAATGTTTAGCATCACTGAAAATGAGTAACATAAAAAGCACATTTAAAACAAATATCAAATGTCCACATTGTACAGTCTACAGCCACGTGTGTGTGCGTGTGTGAGCGTGTGTGTGTTTGCTCATACATGGCAGTGTATGAGCATGTTTGTGTGCTGTGGGAGAGGCCTCGGGACTCGGCCAGACCACCTGGATCTCAGGGCTTGTTGATCTGGCCCATAAATAGGACGGTACCTGGAGATAAATAGACGAGCAGAAGTCATCAAAGGTGCCGGTTAAAGCTCAACATTTGGCATTCGTGTGACGGAACCGAGGGGACGCCAAACGTACCCGTTTGGTTGTGTCTGATGAGGAACAGGAAAGGCCTGTCCACCGTCACCCAGGGTGGAGAGGAGCGGGCCAGCAGAATGGCGGCTGGACACAACACAAACACACACATCTCAGCAAATGGGCGTCCAGCATTAATCAAACACACCTCCACGAGGAAAAAATAAAATAAAAATAACACTCACTGGTGGCGGCCGCCGCTTTTGTCCCGTCTTCGTTCACTATGATTTTGGCTTTCTGGAGGGCCTTGGATACGTGCACGGGGTCAGCGCCTGAGAAACGACAGTGGTCAGTTCACCGTTACACTTCTCTCCCCACTTGTCTGAAGGTCCGACGGTTCTGAGTCATCCCACCACCAGGGGGCACCAGAGCTCAGTACCCCCTTCACACTCAAACATTTCTTACTGGCTCTCCACAGAGAGCAGATCCTTTCAGATTTTCAGATGTGTAAACAGTAATGGATCCTCTCGTGGAGAAGGAAACCCCACCCCGCCCCCCCCGTTACTTTGAAGAGACTCACTGAGGTGTCTGAAGTCGGCTTTGTCCTCACTGAACATATCCGTTATCCCCAGGCTGGACAGCGGCTCTTCCAAATCGACTTCGACATCTGCGGTGAATCTGAAAAAAACGCAGACACACACACACGGCCAGTTGACCTTTAACCTCACAGCATTCCCTGTATGTGCATGTTCTGGTGGGGGTGTTGCTTACTTGGGGAGAAGCAGGCGGACCTTCCTCATGTGCATGAGCTTGGTCCAGCTCTGCACCGTGGCCGTGCTGATGTGCGGGACCACACGGGACAGGGGGGTGTCCTCCTCGGACGGCACCACGATCAGCATGCTGATGGTGTTGCCGTGGTAGGGGAGCTCGATCACTTTGTATTTGAGCCCGCCGGGCGTGGTGGCCACGCCTGGAAAACGGCACAGGGGGAGCAGACCAGTCAGCGTTTCCTTCGGGTCCGTCAGTTAATACATTTGCATGATCTCTTAAAAACCTAACGGAGGACAAACCAGTCGATTTAACAACCAAATGAACGCATAATGGAGGACCACACAAATCCATAAAGCTCCTCCTGACCTCATCCATATTTGTGGAACTTCAAGAGGAGCTCCACGTGATGTTTTGTATTGGGAAATTAGATTCTCATCGGACAGAAGTAACTCTGTTACTATGTTCTATGATGCTGTTCGATAAAAGATGCTCAATAAGAAAAGTTGATTCGTTTTTGTCCGCCCTCCGCATCAGGGCTGTAAAAATGTAAAATGACCACAACTAAAATAAAGCAAAAAGCTGCTTCTTCTCGGTCCTCATTCAATAATAATGTGCGATACTGACTCAAAGCCCTCCTAAAGTTTCCACTTAAACTTCTTTCTGCTGGTGACTCTGCACTGTGAGCCTCTCTAGTCTAAGTGGAAAGTTTCAGCAGACGGTCAGAGAAAGGGTTTCATGTCTTCTAAGACCAGGCTGGAAGTCAGAGTGAACATCAAGTTCCCTACAGCCGAAAAGTGGCTGAAACTCTTGGTTCACTAGGTTAGAAAGTGGTTCCTGGCGTGTTGGTTTGATTAAAATAGCTAGTATTCCATCAAATCTGTGGAGAATCTGAAGGCTGCGTGTTGCTAGCTGATGGCAGGCGTGGACTCTATCCCATTTCCAATCTCAGAACAAAGTGGCCGGTAAACAACAAATCCATGGTGCTAAGAGGAGTAGCAGTAAAAATATCAGCTCTCAGTGGAGCCACCTCGCAGAACACTACGAAGTGAGGTCAGCGTGGACGCGTAACCATGAGTAACCCGGGCAGAATGTGACAGGGCCTGAAAACATCCGGTCTGGAGCACCTTTGCTAGAATGCGGACTCTCCGGGAGACGAGCATCACATGACCCGCGTGGCCTCGGTTCAACCGCAGCTCGACTCTTGACGAGTCTTCTAAATATAACCGACTGACCCGCGCCTCGGTGCCTTTCGCACGGGGCTGAAATCGCATTCCCCGGACGACGTGTCTGGGCCTGCATGGCTTCACTCACCGCAAGCTGACCCTCCGACCGTAAAGCGACAGAGAATAAATCCTAAAAATCTAATCGAAGAGAACCGATTAGATCTCTAGCATCTGAGGACCCGAGCAGAACGGCAGCGAATGACAAACCAACCCGCTTCTCTTTAGGAATTTAAGAAACAAGAGTCTCCCATCCGGCCTGGTTCAGCGTATTCCAGAGATCAGGCCCGGTCACAGAGCTCGGCCTCCCTGGACACTCCTCTGGACTTACCTATGTTGAAGACCGAGAGCTGGGACATCATTGGGACTTTGTACACGCTCCCGTCGCCCCCGGTGAAGGGCCTCATCTTGGTGTTCTGAGGCTGGAAGCAGGACTTCCACAGTCCTTTAAAGTAGATCGCGTTGACGACCACAAGGCGGGTCAGCGCCGAATCCAACATGTCCGCTCGGACCAGGCTGGGGATGTGACCTGAAACGGCGGCGATGGTCCACAGCTGTAGATCTTTAAAACTACTCCAACGACAACACCCAAGTCAGGTCAAGCGTTTGACCGGTCTCGGCCTACCTCTCGTCTTGTTGCTGACCCACCCGTTGATGGCCTCGGCCGCCGAGTCGGGGTCGCCGAAGTCCAGGCTCCTGCTCTCGCACTGAAAGTTGGCCTTGTTGGTGGCCACGAAAGCCTCCTCCATGGGGAAACCCGCCTGGCTGAACATGGCGTTGGCGATCATGACCACGTCCTGGTTGGACCTGGCGGTCAGGGTCTTGTGCAGTTTCTTGAGCATCTTGTAAGGTCCTGCGGAGACCGAGCAAACGGGTTGACTCCAGAAACGTTTAGGGTAACTTCCCCATAGCTCCCTAGGAGCACAATGCCTGACACAAACCAGACCCGGCGCGAGTCCTGACCCCGGTCCTCACCGTTTCTCTTGTAGCGCAGAGCGTTCAGGACCTGCTTGCGCGTTTGCCCGTGGGCTCCGGGCAGCAGCATGCCCAGGACGGAGGCCGCCCCGTGGGGGGAGAGCACCACGTTCTCCAGGGGCCTGGACCGGACCACCTGCTGAAAGACCTGGATGCCCAGATCCGAGCCCCGCTCCCCGTAGGAGGGGGCCAGGGACAGCGCGGCCTCCAGGCCGCACCAGGCCAGCAGCGCGCAGAGAAACGATAAGGAGGAGGTCCGCTTCATTTTGATCACCTGGGGAGGACAAGAGAAACGGAGAGTGAAACAACTGGTGGGAGGAACCGGCTGTTAAGACCACATGGACCACGAATCAGTCGGGATCAGCCTCAGCTGGCATTCCCGGGTCACTTCTAAGGGTGCCCAGTCCCTTTGGGACCCACATTCGCGTCTTTAGCGCAGCAGACAGACTAAAAACATGCGTCCAGCCCCCCTGTGAATGGGACCGATTCTATCCTCCGGGACGCATCCGAGGAAACAGTTTCAGCCCCTCTTTCGGCCACAGTGGAGCACCGATCGCGTACACATTCCGTTTGTTCATCGGCGTGGCTATTCCTTCGTGATCCGTGGACGGAGGTAGAGGAGGAAAAAGGGGGAGAAGCGTGCAGGAGAAAGGGAGGGGAGGGGGGGGGGGCTTTGCGCGTTCAGCTCAGCTGTGCGCGCAGAGCTGCGCGTTCTTGTCGTGGAACCGGGGTCCTTCAGAAAAAGCCAGAAGAGACACCCAACCGGGGGGGGGGGGGGGGGTCCTCTCTGGGCTAACGTGGGAAAGTTTAGGCCGCGTATCTGTGCTGATCTACGGTACCGTAAAGGCCGAACCTGTTCCGTGGGCTTTTTCCGACAGCTCCTGCTACCGCTTTTCCTCTTTCCCACTCAGGTCAGAAACGACTGGTCGGAGCTCCTCGGGTTCCGTTGAGCACAGTGAGCGTCAACACACACATACACAAACACACACACACACACACACCTCCCAGCTCGGGCTGTAGGGCAGGCATTTATCCTGCGGAACCCCGCCTTCCAGCGCACTCCCCTTGCGCTCACACGGCTCCAGCTTCCGCTCCAACGGGCTTTCAGAGTCAAAGCCCGAAGCCCAACGACCGCCCTACCCGTGGGGGGGTCGGGGGGGGGGCTCTTTGGCCGATCGGCATGGTGGAAGCATTGGGAGTGGACGAATGTAAACACAGACCAAGAAATCTGGGAGACCAAGATGACCAAATACAGACATTCAAGTGAACGTGGAGGGGGGTTTCTAGGGGTGATCAGTGAACCTTTATAAAGAAAAAAGACACAAAGGGGGGGTGGCACATCTCTCCTTACTAGAGAGAGTTCTTGGGCCCCAGTCAGATCTGCCAAGAAAACATTCTGCTGAGGCTCTTATCTCCAGGCCAGACGTGAGCGCGCTGGCGCAACCCTTTTCTGGGTAAACACACAAGTCATGGCTCGGTTGAAAAGTCGAGTCTGCGCGTTTCCTGTTCGGACATGATTTGCCACAGCGGAAGGAGGAACCTTGCGTGACTCTCGATGAACTAACCGATACACTTTCTTTTGAAAGCCGGTGAGATTTCCACACGCAGTTTTGCAATAAGATGTGTCTCTCTGTGAGAGATCTGCTTGTCAAGAGTGTGATGCTTTCTTCAGGGGTTGCTCAATAGCAACAGCAACACTGACATTTGCACCAAGCATCCAAAAGAAATTGAAAGAAAACACAAGAAACTGGTTCTACAAAGACATGGATAAATATCAGTACATGTCCCCACTTAACCCAGTGAGCATTGCTGGTCAGCACAGCCAAAAGCTGTGGTCACCACCCTTTATCAGACAAAACCTTTGCTGAAAACTTCTTATTTCACATATCTATTATATTTTTCTCAGAATAAAGATCTGAATTAGGACCATTTGGGTAACCGTTGACTTGTCTGTGATTAACTGGATGCTTAGTTATTCACAGAATAACACACAACTTACTTTGTCGCATTTTAGCTTGCAGAACTGTTGTGTTGGCAGCATTATTCAACAATCAGAGCCTGCAGGAGCTAAAGAAAACGAGACCTCTTTTAGTTTTCAGCAATAACCAGCAGAATTTCTGACTTAATATCGAGCCGTTTCATGGCTGTAGATATTTACGGTTAACAAGTGGGTGTTTCCTTCAGTGCAGTGCACACACACATCAGAAACACTCGTCCACATTTGTGTTTCTATGGTTAAGCTCCTGGCTTCTTGGCAGTAACGGCTACTCTGTCCCCTGGTGCTGTCTCCTGTGGGCCAGCGGTCATCTGTTTGGAACCCACTGATGGACTTGTCTTGGTGGTCATTCTGGGGATGAAGCTGTGAATAACGTTTCCTTTTTCTTTCTCAACTCAGACTTGAATAAACATGCAGAGAATGTTGAAAAAAAAAAAAGCTTTATTGTCTAAAAAAAAAATTATGTCACATCTTCCGAACTCAAACATTTTCTGTTGAGTTTTGTGCAAAGTGTTTTGAGCGGCGGTGGATTTGGCGGTAATTAAGGCGGGCGTGTCCCCGGTCCGTCGCTCCCGGGAGTCGTTTAGGTGCTCTGTGAAGCCGTCCATCGGCCCGTTGAACCGAGTCACTGCTCCAGCCACTGCTGGAGGAGCAGGAAGATGCCGTCGCGGGCCAGAGACAGCTGCAGGGGGTCCCGGCTGCTGGCCGGGTACATGTTGGCGCAGTGGGCTGTTCCTGGATTGGCGGAAAGCACCAACGTTAAAGATCCAACAATGACAAAACATAAGAAAACCAAAGCTCCTGAAACTACTATCCAGATAGCACACGTCAATGGGAACGAGGGAGACTTTGGTTTACTCCCCAAGGTACTGTAGTGGGTATTCAGCCTGAATTCCAAACATAAAATGCTTGGATTTATCTCCCAGAAACGAGACAAAGAAAATAAAGATGCTAAATGTATCTCCATCACCTTTGATGAAAACGGCCGGCAGGTCGGCGGTGATGTTCTGGGTGATCCCCAGGGCGTGCCAGGGGTCGATGGAGCCGTTGGGGAAGACGATTCTGCTGGAGCGGATGGCGTAGCCCCCGTAATTCTCGTTGGTCTGGACGACGGCCTCCGCCACCTGCTCGGCGCTGATGTTGTAAAAGGCCGCGCATTGTTTCACCTGGTAGCTGGATTGCAGATGCAGGGAGAACAGGGATTAACAGAGCAAAGGAAATGGCCAGTTTATGACGTGGAGCAAGAGGATGAGCAATTATGACTCCGTCAGGAATGGAGATGAGGCGTAGAGCGCTCACCTGAGAGGGAAGCCGGTGAAAGGCTGGTTGGGTGAATCTGTGCTCTGGTAGAATCCGAATTCACTGCAGGTCTGGTAGACCCACTGTCTCCCTAACACCACAAACACACACAAAATAAGGACATTAAGCGGGCTAATTTGGATTTAACTCAAGGCCGTGATAACATGGTTCAGGTTAGAGATAGGCATGGCGGCACGGTGGTGTGGTGGTTAGCACTGTCGCCTCACAGCAAGAAGGTTCTGGGTCCCAGTCCCTGGGGGAACCAGGACCTCTCTGGGTGGAGTCTCCATGTTCTCCTGTGTCTGCGTGGGTTCTCCGGCTTCCTCCCACCGTCCAAAAACCTGCATGTTAGGTTGGTTGGACACTCCAAACTGCCCGTAGGAGTGAATGTGAGTGTGGGTGGTTGTGTGTCTCTGCCATGGACTGGCGGACTGTCCAGGGTGTACCCCGCCTTTCTTGCATTGACCACTGGGATAGGCTCCGGTTCTCCCCGCGACCCCATTAGGGAATAAGCGGTAACGATAATGGATGGATGGACGGTTAGAGTTAGCCTTAAATGCTCCGTTCTGATGGGGAGACGGAGACGTTCTGCTGATGGGAGTAGGGGCGGTTTACGGTGCCTTCGGACCGGCCTTAACTTCGAGATGAAGGGGCGCATTGACTGCTCCGCTAAACGGATACAATGTCAGCCGCCACAGTCGCTGCCTTTCAGAGCCGCTTTAAAGCGTCTGAAACTCTGCGTTGACGGAGTGGGACAATGGGCCTCTCAGTAGGTTTAAGGTCCGCTCGAAAACGGTGCTTCACGCTCTATGACACTGAGTTCTGGCAGTGTAGGAAGAGGGGGGAAAAACCCATCTGTTGATGGAAAACTTTAAAAAATAACCCAGCATGTTCAGGTAGTCAGCTGACCCGACGTTACAAGGGGTCCCAGTGCTGAACACAGGCCTGACGCACTGAAAGGAGTCCATGGGATAGCACGACTCCACAGGCTTCCAACAGGAACCAATCATCTGCCCCTCTTCTAACCTTTGTTCCTGTTGTAACACACTGAAGCCTTTTCAGAACCTCCCTGCTGATACAGTATGTGGTCTACACGGCCGTTTGCTTCACAATGGGAGTTTGATGGGAGTCCTACTGTTGATTTAAAAATCTAAGTGAACTCTGACTTTCTTTGACGATGATGGTTGACAATGTTCCTTCCATCCAGGTTGGAATAAAGTGTTGGCTAGTTCTTAGCCCCATTTCCTTAGAATCATTAAGATGTAATCAGTGTGTCGCTGTGGGCTCGACGAGGACTTTTGGTCGCTTGTGGAATTGCGAGCTTTAATCCAAAAATGACGGCCGTTGGCGAATTTATGCTCAAATCTGGATGTTCCTCTAACTTAAAAGTAGTGAATCCAAACTAGGTGAAATCACTTTGTACGTCTTCTACATCACATTCCATGACTTCACAGGCAAAATCTCAGTTGGTCTCACTTGCTGTCAAAAGATTTCCAGCATTAAAACTTCGTCCTTGGATTTATTCATCATTAATCTGATGGCAATGTGGTATCAGTATTATCAACCACTCTTTGTGTGGCTGTATTGCCTGAAAAACGTCTTTTTACCTCTCCTGGCAAAACTGAAAGGTTAGCGTTACATACAGCTCAGCGTTGACATTTCAAATGGCGCTTTTAAAAATACCACTTCCTGGCATTTTGGCGGGCCCCACCTCCCCCTGCCGCCGGCCCGTCCCAGGACGTGTTGCTCATGTCTCTGACGTAGTTCCCGAAGCTGGCGTCCAGGCACTTCATGGAGAAGGCGTCCGCCATCAGACGCGCCACGGCGGCGTAGCGGGCGTAGGGGTCTCCCAGCGATGCGTCGGCCATCACGCCGCACAGCACCTTGATGGTGATGTTGGTGGCTGCCACGCCCTGCGGGGGGGACACGCCAATTAAAAAGGCTGGAAAGAGGGATTCAGGAAAGAGGAAACGAGCACCGGTTCTCTTTTACATCTGCGTTTCCATAACAACATTAACTTCCTGCCAACACTACGGAAGCCTAGATCATTGGCAAAATATGTCCAACTCAAAATGTACCAATAAACAAACAAATGAGAACAGAAATATATCTTAAACTTTGAATAATAAATTCAACTTATACTTTCTATTAAAGAGGCTTACACAGGGACCACTGGCAATTGCGTCCATGAGGCACCGGGACCACAAACAGAGTCTGAAAATGACCCTGAAACGTTGTATAATATAGACAAGCGTGGCTAAAATGACTCCTAAAATTGTAAAGAGATAATGGGAGAAGCCTCAATTAGGGTGTGGGGATGCCGAAGGGTGGGGAGTATCAAAACATGGAAGGATAAATACTGTAAATCTCCCCCGTGAGCCTAGCAACCCAAACTCTGTTAGGCTCAGTGACAGACGCCATGGCTGAGCAGCCTTTCTGCTTCCTTTGACTTGATGCTAGTCTAGTTTAGAACTGCGGACGTCTTTGAGACGGTAGAGATTAAACTTCTTCCAGATTTATCAGGAAGCGCGGTTACCCTAATCCAGTGCCATCTACTGTAGATCTGCACGTAGCTGCAGAAGTGACAATACTGAGGTCACAAAACGAGCATCTTCAGTGTTAACTGACGAACTTTGGCTCAGTCTAGAAGCCGTAGGGTTACACAATATCTGTTTCCATTTCACTGATGACCCCCTCCACCGATGACCCCTCAACTGTGACGCCACCGGGCCCACTCCGGTTACACCTTCCTCCGTGTTCCCACCTAAATTCCTCCGTGGTACCTAAAACCTCTGTGTGTGTGGGGGGGGGGGCTGAGCGGCTGCAGCCCGCCCGCCTGGGCCGGGGACTCTGCGGCTCACTGCTCCTCTCAGTTCTTTTACAAGCGCCTCTTTAGCTCGGGGGCGACAGGAAACCAGAGAGACCAAAGAGGCTTTTGTTGCTTTTTCACATGGGCTTATTGGTAACCGGACTCACGTCTCGTCAAGGCACCGGCGGGGGGGGTGCTGAGAGGGGATGGAATGGAAAAAGAAGGGCTAGGACTGGTTTAGGAAAATGGAACTACCAGAGGAAACGGTGACCAAACAAATCTAAAAACAAATCTTTTTTTTTAGCCTCTTCTGAAACCAGGTGGCCATCTTAGGCTGTGTTGTTGTTGTATTTTATATCTCTTCTGACCTTTTTTGCATTGGCAGCCCTAAAGCTGAGCTTAGCTGTGTTTGTCTGCTGTTGGATGAGTTTGTTTCCCCCGAGTCTGCTAGTGTGTCCGGACCCGTCTTGACCTCCTGCACCCTATATACACAACAGAACCTCTACTTACGATTGCCTAAACATACGAATTTTCGAACATCCAAAGTGAATTTCGATCAAATATTTAACTCGCCACCCAAAGTAAATTTCCAACATAGGAAAAAAAAAATATATATAAATTGAATTAAAATAAATAAGTTAAGTTAGTTTAAAGTTCAGGTAGTGAAAGTTAGAGTAAGTTACGGTACGTCCTGTATCTAAGTCTCCACCTCTACCTCCACACCGTTATATTTCTTTATAATTTATTTATTTTTCCATCTCTCTTATGTAATGCATTTGTTTTACTGATATGTGTAATTATCTGCAGTATTTATTAAGGAGTTATTGTAGGTTTTGGGGCTGTGGAACGAATTACGGTGTATTCTTATGGGAATATTTGAACCAACATACGAATATTTTAACATACGAAGTAGGTCCCGGAACGAATTCAATTCGTTTGTAGAGGTTCTACTGTACTTTCAGTCCCCCGAACCAAGGTCTGAAGCCCGACTAGAGCAAAACACTGCTGAACCGAGGTTCCCTTCTGATGACCCCAGTGACGCGTGGGTCAGCACTGCTCACTGGTCCATGTGGGGGCCATAGGTTCATTCTTTTAAGCTAAACTAAATGAAAGAAGCACCATGTGAAAGTTTGACCAACTAGAGGAAATTAAACATCTCTCTCCCTCTCTCTCAGCAGGTTTCCCTGTCCGGGCTTCATGGTGCTGGTTGCCCCTCTTTGCTGTCCTTTCAGCCCCCAGCCGGCCCACAAAGATGCTTCTGGTTCTGATGGTGGTTTCTGTCTGACTGACTCAGGGAGAGAGGTTTCACAGCAATCTGTTGGTCTCTTAACAAGGAACCATTAAGTTTTTTTTAAAACTTTGAATTAGTGCTTTGTGAATGAGACAAATTTAGAATAGAAATCGTTTATATAATACATTTCATCTAGATTGCATTGTATCCCTGTAAGTTACTGTTAGGAGTGAGTTTGTGTGGTTGTTTGTTTGTGAAAGAAAGTTCAAAAACAGACTCCACCTTTAATTTTAGGCTCAGACGAAGCAGCCGACTCCAGAAATAAACTCTGAGGTTAAACGAGGGCAGTTTCTCAGAAGGGATTTAGCGCTGCTTTCAGGAAAACATGACAAAAACCCACACTCTTTTGTCAGGTACTGTTTTTTTTTTTTTTTTTTTTTAAAGTCCACAAACTATCCAAATCCGAGCTGCCGCTCACCTCAAAGTCTCTGTTGTCCTGATTGTACTGGACCACATCCATGAAGCTGCCAGCCACCGTTTCCAGAAAGTAGGCCGACTCCATGTCTGACTCAAGCTGCAGCTTGGAGCACAAACTGGAACGGGGGGAGGTGGGGGCACACAGAAGAAAACAGTTTTCAGTCGTGTGTGGCAATGATAGGGTAGGGAGAATGAAAAAAAAAACATCTTTGAGCCTTTTCTTTCTGAGAGATAACAGAAATCATTCAACCAAAGATCCTCACATTGCCAGTGACTAGAAGCGGGAGGGGGAGGGGGGGTAGGGAGACATTCACATTACTGTCCACTTCTTGCTGGTAGGTGAGAGAACATTACAGATGTGACACATTTTCACGTCTCCTCCGTGTGTGTGTGTGTGTGTGTGTGTCTAAGAGTGTGAGGCAAAGTGTGAAATAGTGTCCCTGTGGCACTCTGGTTAAAACCGCACCCCCCTCTGTGATGTCGCGTGTTTACGTCTGCATGAGGACACGTCTGCGTGCAGCCGAAATAAAAAAACAAAAAAGGCATCCAGTGTGGTCGCTTCCCCTCCGTTTCCATGACGGCACTCGTTCGGTGAAAGGCCGACCGCTCCGCCGCCGCCTCGAAACGCCCTCTGACCTCACCATCGCTATGGCGACCTCACCCAATAACACCGGGGACGGCATTAACGACTGCAGACTCATGCAGGGTGACCTCATGGCTGCGGCCGAAAAACAAAGAGCCGAGAAAAAGGATCCAATAAAAGCAAAAAAAAAAGGCTTCCGTTTACGCAACAGAGTCAGACGAGTCGCACAAGTCCTCTGTGGAAAACACGCGATTAGCCACTTCATGATGATCTGTGACCCGAATGGCAACAAACGCTCCTATAAAGGGCATCAATTACTCCTCTGTGCCTTTGTATCTCAGAGACAAACTGACCGACACACCAGAGACTGGTGGCCCACGCTGTAGTCCAGAGGAAACCTTAAAATAGCACGTGTAATTGTCAGCTCGGATTGTTAGTTCGCAGCAGAGCTGGAGTTATGGCGGGTAAACGGAGCGTACTTGAAGTCTTTGGTAATGTTGTCAAAGGTTTTGGGGTCTTTCAGACGTTCGGCCAGGGCGTCCGAGGCTTTGTTCACCAGCACGGGGCACTCCGGGTTTTCCGAGGCCAGCGAACGCCACACAACCTCTAGGTACTCTGAAGAGGCAGAGAAAAGAAAAAAAAACACCCCCATAAATAACATGGCCACTATAAACAAGCTTGGCAGTGGGGGCACAAAGCTCTGCTTAAATACTTCCGACTTTAGTTTTCTAAAAAGGTTCGACTGAGATTTAAATCCCCCCCATTGATCAGGTGAAAGTCCCCCCATTTGAAACCCCTGGGATGTTTCCACCCTGAGCAAAAGCCAACCTCATTCTGGTAATACTGATGACTAACTGCTGTGTTGTTTGGGGGGGAAAAAGACAAAAAAATAAACCCAACATCAGAGCACAGCGTTCACTTTTCCGTGTGGTTTTTGTCTCTGGGATTTTTTTCCCTCAGATTAATTGGAATGTGAGCTGAATGTGTGCGATAATGTCTTCGAGATAGCACGTGTGTGTGTTTGTGTGTGTATGTGCTCAAAGCCAATCTGATTTCAGCCTCCGCCTGGTGGAGGACAAACACTGGGGTCGGTCAGCTGACAGGAAATCAAGCTTTCGGTCCTACAACTGTTGATTGAAATGTTTCACAAGGGCACACCGTACACACAAACCCCTAAATAGGTCCTACTGGCTACATTTTGCTCTCATAAATAATGGAGTTACTCCTAAAATGACTTTTCGTGGTAAACGCAATGCAAATACTATTGAAGTAAAATACAAAAGAACCTCCAATCTTTAGTTTTTCAATGGTCTGACACAGTGGTGGTTCCGTGTATCTGTACTTTACTTAAGTAAATTTAATAATGGATACTTTCTACTTTTAGTCCACAACATTTAACAGTAAGTATCTGTACTTTCTACCTCACTACATTTCTATACAGCGTTTCGTTACTCGTTACATCCAAGACGCATTTCGGTTTTTTGATTTGTTCGTTAGTTTGAAAGTATCCAATGGCGAGAGCAGAATCAGTCCGCTGAACCAATCCAAAGCGGGAAATAACCATTAGGCCCTCCCTCAAGAAGAGCAGCACAGTACGCAGGACCTGCATAAAATATCTAAATCTAAACTGTCACAGGGGGTAAACACAATAAAAACATGCTTTATCTGCAGCATTGCTCATTAAAATGGTACATTACTGATTTATTAAAACTAAATACGATAGGTACACTTAATGACATTATATAAGCCGTTACGTATTATGGTTGGCAAGTACTTTTACTTTTAATACTTAAGTAGTTTTAAAAGCTTGTACTTTCTTACTTTTACTTAAGTAAAATAATAATGTGGTACCTTGACTTTTACTTGAATACATTTTTGTCTGTGTATTTGTACTTTTACTTGAGTACATTGTATGAGTACTTTCTCCACCACTGGTCTGACACATGATCTAACCTGGTACCTGGAAAGTTGACGGTGGCGTGCACGGGCGCACTGGTGGCCACGGACGCGTGGACCAGGTGGGGGTACTTCAGCCGGAACCAGGCGGCCAGCGAGCCCGGGTAGGAGCCGCCGAAGGCCACCCACTTGGCGTCGGCCAGCCCCCGGGCCAGGCCCGTGGCCGTGCGGAAGTGGGCCAGGTCGGCCAGCGCCTGCCGGCTGCTGAGGAAACGCAGGCTGTCCGTGCTGAGGTCCCTAAAGGAGGAGGGGGGGGGGGGGGGAGAGGGTCAGGGGAGAGATAGCACGCAAGGCCCGATCAACAGAAATGCTTGGACACCTGGAACAGGAATAAACCCGGTTAACTCTGCTGCTACAAGGGCCCTGCTTCAGCCGTGGGGAGGGGGTCACCATTTTGGAGGGAGCGACCCTATTTTTATTGACGTTGACGCTCATAAGACATTTCCTACCAATCCCCTGGGATTGGGAATATTATGTGACCTCTGATGGAGGACAGACTTCACTATCAGTAGCTCATATAACATAGTTCAGGTTGTTAACCCGATTCTTTAGTTGGAAACCTGAGAATAAACCAGAGTAGATCAAAAGTAAGAAGTTAACATTTATTAGCTTTAACAGACAAAACCTCTCTCTCTGGGTGTCAGTGGGCAAAGAGCCCTGAGATCTAGTTGTGATGGGCATTATCTCCTTGGCTAGGTCCTCTTCAAAGGAGGACTGGACACAACCAAGTCCCATTGGCTAGTTACCGCTGGGGATAAACAGGCCAGGTCCTAATTCACGTAGATAACATTGAAATGTGGTAACAAATGGTGTGTGTTCGTGTTGACCTAATGGAATGTTATAAATGGTGTGGATCTAATACAACAGGAAAAGAATAACAGAAAAAGAGGAAAAGGAGAGTCTGTGGGCACAGCCAGGAACACAAAAATAAAGTTCTTAAAAGAATAAAACAATAATTAATTTGCTCATGTTATAACATACTATGCTAAAATGGGTAACTTTAGCCAGCCTCCATGTGCATAGTGCCTCATGCCCCTTGTGTCCATGTGTTAGTGTATGTTATACCTGTTTTAACCAGTATATGGTGCTATTGGGTCGGTTAAGTGTGAGTGTGTGTGATGATTGATAGTATTTCTGTAGGTTTGTTAGTTTTTATAGGCTGGGCACAGGTGTCCACACGTGTTACCGTAACGCTTCTGATCTGTTGTTGTCATTTCAGAGGTGGGGGCTCAGCAAAGCAGATGAGAAAGACACATCCGGTCTTCGTTTCGGTCTTCTGGCCTAACGGCGCGTCCTGGGTGCTGAGCCACCCCAAACTGAAGCTGCAGGGCTGCCATCTGGTGGAGCCCACTCCGCTCTACACACACCCATTCAGGGCTTTGGTGTAAACAATCAAACAAAAGCTGGCGTGTCTTTTCTGGTCATTCTGCATGTTTTTTGCTTCCCTCTGCACACAATCCACGGACAGGAGGCCTCTGAGGCCTGACCCACTGGATCCCAACACACAGGAACCTGCTTTGTCTAGAAGAGGTTTCAGTTATTTTGGGATTCTCAGCTTGCGTTCGTTTGCCCAACAACCTGTGGCGACGTTAAAGCCGTTTTCCGACACCATCTGGTCCATCCACCCCCCCCGTTTCTGCATCTCCCTGACTCCCAATCGGACCGAACCCACTTCATCCATTCTAGTCAAGCTCAAAGGAAAGGCTGGCTGAAACTTAAAGGAAAGATGTTACGCAGCAAACGTGGAATGAACATACTGTGTTGGGTGACTCTTTCCGTAGAACCGGTGCTCCAGCATCAGACACAGGGCTCCCAGCTTCTGGGCGTAGATGAGCCAGGTGCCGTTCTGCATCCAGGCTGGATTCGCTGGGCCCTCGCCGCCGATCATCAGGAACACCGGCCCGCCGGGCTTGTAGAAGGCTTCGTTTACAAAGTATCTCTGCAGACAAACAGTGAAAACGTTCACATGTGTTTACTTTACCTGGAGAGGACAGATTTCTACTCTAGTGACAACTGCGTGACGTGGATGTGTTCAGAAATGTGAGGTTAGGGGTCAGGGGTGCAACCCACCTGCTTCCACACTCGGCCGTCCGCCCCGTTGAAGTGGTCCAGTTTCTGGGTGAACCACAGCTCCTCGGACGCGGCTCCCGGCGCGAGCTCCTGCGCGCGGCGAAGCCTCGCAAAGCGGCCGTGGGCCGCCGCGCACGCGCTCAGGAGGAGGACGAAGCCCACCCGGCCCAGGACCGGTCCACAGGACAGAGCCATGGTGCTGTGAACTGGGGGCGAAAAGTCTGGGTCATATGACCCGCCGGGAGACTGTCATGTGACAAGTTCCGCAGCTACTTTAATGACTCCAAAAACGTAGGAAATCTGATATTCTCCATCCACAGACAGCCCGCTTGAGCTCAAGATTCGTGTGAATACAGACATAACTAAAACAGTGTCTAGAGACGTTCAAAAGCAAAGCTTGTCTCGAACATTTAAGCAGTGGAGCCATCCTAATAAATTTATTTATATGTAGTAAATGCCTGAACTGAAAACACTGCAGTTACCCGGAGTCTGGGCTGTAGGTGAACCGGCAGCTATGACTATCTATTGCCAGCTGTGGCGCTACAAACAAATTCGCATCCGATTATTCCGCAACGAAGAAGAAATTGATCAGTCACCTAGCTGCACTAGCTAACCGATAGTTCACAGACCAGCAACTATGGAAGAGGCAAAAAAGAAAGAGACTAAGCAGCCTGAGAAGACTGATGACAAAGACAAAGAGAAGGGACAACAGTCCTCTGGGAAGGACAAGGAAAAGAAAGAGGAGCAGGAATTGGTAAAGAAACGTGTACATTTCTCCCATTGAAAATGTGCTAACTAACGCTTCAGGGGCAAGAGCTGTTATTTGCCTTAGTCACTGCCGCTTTGTCAACATGGTCGAGCAGGCCAAAGTCATTATCACTTACCAAGGACTTGTAATGAGCATTTATATTTGCGATTATATATATTTCCCGTGTGAAACCTGACTTTTCCGAAATTTGGACGTGTTTGGGTCGCATAACGTGCGTGTAGAAGAAAGCTATAGCTAGGTAGCCTACCACAGCCGGTATGCTAAGGTTAGCTTCGTAGCGATGTAAAGCCATCAGTCTAGGTTTGCTAACATTTTGAGGCTTACCTTTAGGAAACTTACTGTATGACACAGCAGGTTAGGTGGAAACGAATACATTCACAGCTTTTTATTAAAACTGGCAGAATATACTTGGCAAGAAATGTGGTTTAACTTTAAAATTGGTTGAGGAGAAAGTGTCAGATCCGAGTCACTGGTGGTGTTTTGGAGAATCGCATGTAGCATCTTATTACTGACTATTATTATTAGATTTTTTTTTAATTTAGCTGAGATTTCCAGCCACAAATGTGGAAATTTGGTCAAAACGATGACCCTTTGTGGTTGAATTTATTAAACTGAAACAACTGAAAATCAATGTACCAGCTAATTACCCTACAAATTATTGGTATAAATGACTGTGTACATAAAAATTTGCGCAATTTCGTCCTTATTATTTTTGGACTCTCTACATAGATTTTGTTTTAAATTGATGTGACCGAAAAAGAGGGGGACGAGATGGGGGGAAAAGGGCAGGTTTTTATTCTCAGTATATCCTTGAATAAATTAGTATGATCAATGTTTACATTGTTTTTGAAAAAAGATTAGTGGCATTTCAAATTCTTTCTTTCTCTCTCTTAGTCTGAGGAGGACAAGCAGTTACAGGAGGACCTGGAGATGATGGTGGAGAGGCTGAGCGTGAGTTGTAGTTACTTTATTTTCCACTTTGCGTCAGTTGCTGAGAATCCCTGCAGGATTAAAGAACATGTTTCTCTTTTGCAGGAGAAGGACACAGCCTTGTATCGTCCCGCCTTAGAGGAGCTGCGCAGACTAATCCGCTCCTCGACCACCTCCATGACCTCAGTACCGAAGCCCCTGAAATTCCTGCGCCCACACTATGGCAAGCTCAAAGAGATCTATGAGGGCATGGCCCCGGGCGAGAACAAGGTGGGTTGGTTTTCTGTGTGCTGTGAAACGTTGAGTAGGGAACAATACAGTGAGCTTTGAGGCTTTGTTTTTGGTTGCAGCGTTTTTGTGCCGACGTGGTGTCGGTGCTGGCCATGACCATGAGCGGTGAGCGGGAGTGTTTGAAGTACCGTCTCCTGGGTTCTCAGGAAGAGTTGGCCTCCTGGGGACACGAATATGTCAGGTAAATCGTCTCACTTCAGACCTGAAAGATTTTATGTGAACAAATGAAACCTTAGTGGTTTTCAGTTAGATTCATAGCACACTTTGGAGAAACCCGCTCCCTATCCGTCACCACTATCGTGCCTAGTGGCCTTCTTAGCCGGACTGGGGGTCGTACCAACATTAGCAACGCGTGTAATAACGCACATACACAAACACACAGACGCAGACACATGGGTACAACTGTCTGATGGTGTTTTAACAAAAACAAAACACTCGTCGGTTGAAACAGTTTCTCCTCCCTCGTCACCGGTTTTAGTCAGACCTTCACCAATAGTGCCACTGTTCCATGTTACTGTCATCTACACCAAATGTCACACTGACAGAAGGCTAACACTCAGCTGTCCTTTAGCGTAGGGAATATGCCGGTAAGGCCACAGTTTGACCGAGTTACAGTAGCAATTCGGTACTCTGGATCAAACGATCCTGTCTCTAACAGGATCAGGTTTATCCCAAACTGAGGCCAAAAGGTTTCAGAAGGATCCAGCTGTGTCCTCTAACTGCCCGTCTCGTTTATGTCCACCAGGCACCTCGCGGGGGAGGTGGCCAAGGAGTGGCAGGAAGTAGAGGAGAACGATAAGACCCAGCAGGAGACGCTACTGAAGCTCGTCAAGGAGATTGTGCCCTACAACATGGCCCACAATGCCGAGCACGAGGCATGTGACCTCCTGATGGAGATCGAGAGGCTGGAAATGCTGGAGGACTACATTGATGAAAATGCCTATGGCAAAGTATGCCTGTACCTCACCAGGTCTGTGCGGCTTCCCACACGAATCTCAGACCTTCTTTCGGATGCTGTGAGCTTTCTTCAACCTCATCTTTTTTTTTTTTTTTCTAGCTGTGTGAGTTACGTTCCTGAGCCAGAGAACTCGGCTCTGTTGAGATGTGCCTTGAACATCTTCAGGAAGTTCAGCCGCTATCCCGAGGCTCTGCGGCTGGCCCTGATACTCAACGACGTGGAGCTGGTGGAGAACATCTTCACGTCCTGCAAGGACATGTAAGCCCGCCGCTCAGACCCACGGGGAACCCCACGCTAACAGCATCCAGCGCTGTTTCTGGAAGGCTACCTCCCTCACGTACCAAATACAACATGTATGTGTGTGTGTCCTGCCCGCAGAGTCATCCAGAAGCAGATGGCCTTCATGCTGGGCCGCCACGGCATGTTCCTGGAGCTCAACGAGGACGTGGAAGACTACGAGGACCTGACGGAGATCATGTCCAACGTGCAGCTCAACAGTAACTTCTTGGCTTTGGCCAGAGAGGTGAGAGAGAGAGAGCGTAACACGAGAGTTTGGTGGGAGTTTGACTTCTAGGGAAATTTGTTTGTCAGGCCTTAAGAAACCTACATGCCAACGTTTTCAAAAAGCCACAGCTGAGTTAGTCATTATCACCCAAAGGGCAGGAGATTTTTTATTCCGATACGTGGAGAAATGCTGAAGTTAAAAAAAAAAAGAAAAAGAAAACATCTAATATCCCTTTCTGTGAGAATCATGTGGAGGCCAAGCTTTATGCAGCACCTGTGCCAGTGGACAACACACATTGTTGTGGTTCAGAACTTAAAATCTAGAAAAAAGTGTTTGATTTTATCCGTTAGAAATGAAAGTCTGATTGTCTGTTCTCCAGTTGGACATTATGGAGCCCAAAGTTCCGGACGACATCTACAAAACGCACCTGGAAAACAACAGTGAGTCTCCGTGTGATGATGGAATGTTTTGGTTCTGCGACTTTCTTTGGATTTTCCATTGAAAGGATTTGTGCTGAGCCCCGTTTCCAGGGCGCCGGTCAGCTCTGTGCTGTGCGTTCCAGGGTTCGGCGGCAGTGGCTCCCAGGTGGACTCGGCCCGGATGAACCTGGCCTCCTCCTTCGTCAACGGCTTCGTCAACGCCGCCTTCGGGCAGGACAAGCTGCTCACGGACGACGGCAACAAGTGGCTGTACAAGAACAAGGACCACGGTACCGGAACACACGCCACCCCCACAGGGAACCTCACGCGTGTGCTGGTCACTGTGTTGGTCGTGTGCATTTACGAAAGGTGCTTTGGGTTTGTCAGGCATGCTGAGTGCTGCGGCCTCTCTGGGGATGATCCTGCTGTGGGACGTGGATGGGGGTCTGACCCAGATCGACAAGTACCTTTACTCCTCCGAGGACTACATCAAGGTACGGGACGGGCCGCGATGCTTTGAGCAGCTCTCTTTTGCGTCGGTTTTCATCTCAACGACAAAATTCTATTTAGCTCAAGGAAATCATTTCACAAGTTTTAAGTTAAAGAATGTGCTCGTGTCCAACCACAAAGGTAGTTAGCAGGCTTACAGTGATGGGGGCTGATCTCTGTCAGGGGGGGTCTCCTCTGAAAGAGGCCTAAAAGGGGGGTCTTCTCCATCAGAAGCCTAAAGGGGGGGTCTTCTCTGTGTCCCTGTGTGCAGTCTGGAGCCCTGCTGGCCTGCGGCATCGTGAACTCGGGTGTGAGGAATGAATGCGACCCTGCTCTGGCCCTGCTGTCCGACTACGTCCTGCACAACAGCAACGTCATGAGGATAGGAGCCATCTTTGGGTGAGAGAAGCACCTGCGACTGTGTGGGTGTCCCGGGGTGTGTTCGGTGTCCGGGCCGGGATGCGTCGGCCTCTCCGGGAGCCGTAGAAGCTGCTGACGGTCGTGGTCTCGTTTTCAGACTGGGCCTCGCTTACGCAGGCTCCAACAGAGAAGACGTCCTCTCTCTGCTGCTTCCCGTCATGGGAGACTCCAAATCCAGCATGGAGGTGTGGTGGAGCAGTTCCCGCTGAGCTCACATTTTACTTCCGGTTGAAGGCCGGCTCAGCCGTATTAAGCGTCCCCCCCTCCCGACCTGCAGGTGGTCGGAGTGACGGCGCTGGCGTGCGGCATGATCGCGGTGGGCTCTTGTAACGGGGACGTCACCTCCACCATCGTCCAGACCATCATGGAGAAGAACGAGCAGGAGCTGAAGGACACCTACGCCCGCTGGCTGCCTCTGGGGCTGGGGCTCAACCACCTGGGTAAGCATGGAGGGATCGAAAGAAGAGACGGAACGAGCCAACGGCGTTACTCAGCTCACCGTCTAACGGTTTGGTTGTCTCCTGTGACTCATTCGACTCCACTTAGGCAAAGGAGAAGCCATCGAGACCACGCTGGCGGCTTTACAGGTTGTCCCCGAACCTTTCCGCAGCTTCGCAAACACACTGGTGGACATCTGTGCCTATGCAGGTGGGTGTTTGAGCCGTTATCCGGCTGCAGACCGGGACCCTGGCCCTCTGAAGTAATGTTCCTCCTAACTTTGGTTCTTTTTTTTCCCCCTCAGGTTCTGGCAATGTGCTCAAGGTGCAGCAGCTTCTCCATATCTGCAGTGAGCACTATGAAGCTAAGGAGAAGGAGAAAGAGGAGGACAAGGACAAGAAGGATAAGAAGGACAAAGACAAGAAGGACTCTGCTGCTGACATGGGCTCCCACCAGGTCAGGACTCGGTGGATCTGTGAACCCAGTAAAATGTAGACTGTAACGCTTTAAACAGTCTGAGGAGGGGATGCTGCTACCAGCTGTTTGTAGATCATCTCTCACACTCTTTAGATCAAACTCCGTGTCAAGGGCACGCAGGGGATACGAGGACAAAAGGCTGTGCTCGCACAACCAGAGTCAAAACGCCCAGAAAGCCTTTTTATTTAATTTATTTTTCCATAGAAAACTACACCGCGCAAAGTTTTGGTAGCTCTTCACTTTTTCCGACACGTCACCAGTTTTTTGCATGCTGGATTAGTAGGTTTTCAGCAGCGTGCTGTTCCCTTTCCTCCTCATTTCTCTCTGTGTAGATGTGAGAACTCCTTTTCTTGTATTGAAGACAAAGTTGATGCGAGTGTGTCCTTCTCAGGGTGTGGCTGTTCTTGGAATTGCGCTGATTGCTATGGGAGAGGAGATCGGCTCTGAAATGGCCCTGCGGACCTTCGGACACCTGGTCAGTTGTCATTTCCGTAGCGAAAGCTGGCAAAGCCCTCAGCGTTTCTGCCGCCTGTGAGCAGAGCTAACCCTCTTTGAATGGATGTCTCTGCTCCCTTGACTTTGTTTGTCTCCCAGCTGCGGTACGGCGAGCCCACCCTCCGGCGAGCCGTGCCCCTGGCCCTGGCCCTCATCTCCGTGTCAAACCCCCGCCTGAACATTCTGGACACGCTCAGCAAGTTTTCCCACGACGCCGACGCAGAGGTGTCCCACAATTCCATCTTTGCCATGGGCATGGTGGGCAGCGGTGAGTGTGGGCGCCGTCTGAGGGAGGGGGGCGCTATCTACTGGAGAAATAGGTTCTCGCTGCTTCTTTGCTGTTCAAGCAATCGCTGTCTCAGCCTTAATCACCCATTCAAGGAAAAGCACCTCACGGTGTAGCGGACAGTGTACGCTTCCCACTCCTGGTGTGCGTTGACCCCCCCTCCATCCGATCTCTTTCCCCGTCTGCAGGCACGAACAACGCCCGCCTGGCGGCCATGCTGCGGCAGCTGGCCCAGTACCACGCCAAAGACCCCAACAACCTGTTCATGGTCCGGCTGGCACAGGTGGGTGGCCGGACACAGGCCTCATGGGGAGGCCGGGGGGGTGGGGGACTGTCTTTTAAAAACGTTTTCCAAACGAGTGTTTGCGTGCGTGTCCACAGGGGCTGACTCACCTGGGCAAAGGCACGCTCACACTGTGCCCCTACCACAGCGACCGGCAGCTGATGAGTCAGGTGGCCGTGGCCGGCCTGCTGACCGTGCTCGTGTCCTTCCTAGACGTCAAGAACAGTGAGTACACGTCGCCTGACCCCCCCTACTGTCAGTTCATCCACCGCACGCTAACCCACGGCCGCTGTTGGCATTTTCATTTCCAGTAATCCTTGGGAAGTCCCACTACATCCTCTACGGGCTGGTGGCGGCCATGCAGCCGCGCATGCTGGTGACCTTCGACGAGGAGCTGCGGCCGCTGCCGGTGTCGGTCCGGGTGGGGCAGGTAAGGGCCCGCTGAGGGGTGGGGGGCGCGCCACCGCAGATTCCCTCGAGCCGTGCCTAACGCGGGGCTCTGTCCACAGGCGGTGGACGTGGTGGGCCAGGCGGGCAAACCAAAGGCCATCACGGGCTTCCAGACTCACACCACCCCAGTGCTGCTGGCCCACGGGGAGAGGGCGGAGCTGGCCACCGAGGAGTACCTCCCCGTCACCCCCATCCTGGAGGGCTTCGTCATCCTTCGCAAAAACCCCAACTACGAAACCTAGACTGGCCCCCGTCCCCCCGTTCTCACTGGGGGTCCCCTTGTTTGAAAGGGCGGCCTTGAAAAGGCTCCTGGCATTTGTTATATTTAGTTACTCATTGCATGGCTGAAGACGGACATCTATCTGCAGCCCCACTCCAGCAGCCATAAGAAATGAACGGAGGGCTGGCGATGTAGGGAGTCATCTGTGATCTGCCCCCCCTCTCTCACAGATGCATCTGCACAGCTCTAAATCTGGTACACGTCGGATAAGCACTGACCCAACTGGGACCAGTTCACCCATCTCCTGTAAACCCTTCAGTTACCAGTCAGTGAGTGACCACTGCTCAGTCCATGTTTGCCTCCTGCTTTACTCCTCCGTCATCTTTTTGTAATTAGAACATTGAAAGTATGTATTCTACATCACTCAGTTTTTGTTTTTGTTACAGCTGGTGAAAAAGATTGAATCAAAAATAATAAAAAAAGATTTGTTTGGTGAATGCTTGTGCCCATATCTTTTTTGAGCTAGTCACTGTTGGTCTTTGAGTAAAGCTGGTCAGGGTACATTGCAATACAGGAAAAGTAGCAAAAAGGCCTTCAGTTCCCACTGACCCTTTTTTCCCGCCGTTTCAAGCCTCCATCATTAAACCCTACCTGCCTGGCTGCCTACCTGTTCAGGGAGCTCTCAGTACCCAGACTGTCCTAAATTGTCATGATTTAGAGGATGACATGATGGGCCTTGACCTGGGTGACGGGCAGTGGGTGAACATTTGTCTAACCGAGGGTTCTGGAAGTTTTGCACGACGGCAGAAAAGCAAAACGACTACGTCGCGCGGTCCCTCGGCATGATTACCGGGAAGGTTTCACGTGACGGGGTTTTTTTTTCTCCGGAATTACAAACTACCGGCTTCCGGGAATGTCTCCGTCCGTCCGGCTCTGCGGACTCAAGGAGAGAGAGGTAACACTACGGTCCTCGGCTAATTCTTCGTTCAAGCGTTGCATTTTTCACATGGGGGGTTCGTGACACTCCGGGGGCGGTGAATGCAGCCCGCGCGCAGCCTGTCCTCGCGCGACCGTTAGCCCGCCGCGCGTGGACCCTCCAGGCTTAGCCCAGCTAGCTCCTGCTAGCATCCCCATGTTATCCCCCCCCAAACTGGAGCAAGTAGTCTTAACACGGGCGTACGGCACGAAACGGGGCCGGTCGTGGCGCGTGTCGTCAGGCGCGAGGCGTGGCTGTGGCCGCTGGTGTCACCGGTGGGTTTCCGTCACGGGGGGGCTAACTGTCAAGCCGTTTGCTGGCTGCGTGGGACAGGCTAGCAAGGGGGGAGCCCCGATATCATTCTTAGTTCTTGCACGTGTTCGTGTTTTTGTCCGCGCGCAGGGAATTTGACTGGCGCGTGGCTGCGCGCGTGAAGGCGTGTCTGACAGTCTGGATCCGAGATGCTCTTAACTGTTTACTGTGCTCTGTGGAGTGGAGTTTGGCTTGCTGGATACACTTGTGAATGAAATCTGCATGTATGTGATTTCCTATATCTGTGTGAACACACACACACACACACACACACACACACACACACACACATAACTCCAGTCATCATGACTCAGCCTTTCACACTGCAGCTTCCCTGTGTGGGTTAGTGTGTATCAGAGTGAGAAGGCATGTGTGTGTGTGTGTGTGTGTGTGTTACTCACTCGCAGAGATGAAGCAAAAATGAGCCATTGATATCACAAATAGGAGCCGGTTACACATCAGGAGGTGACCGGTGAGGTCACCTAAAGACACGACGCAGGCTTTGCTTCTGTCAGGATAACTCAGCTTTCTTCTCAACTGACGAATGAGGAATGGGCCCTGACCCACATCACTCCTTGTTCTTTGTGTGTTACACTGATGCAGAGGCCCCTGGAGTACTCCAGATGTTGAATACTGCGAGAGCTCAGCAGAAAAAAAAAAACAGATCAGCAAAGTGAGGCCTTGTCATGGTTTAGTCTTAACACCCTTTCCTCTCTCTTAGGAAAAACCTTCCACTGAGGACCTACAGAGATTCCCAGCTGTAAGTCCTCTCCCCTGGCCTCTCCTTCTCCAATGTGTGTGTGTGTGTGTGTGTTTTTGTGTGTTAACTTTGTGAGACTCGTTCAGCCCATTCGTTTTTCTCTCTTGTCAGATTTGTGCACCGGACCACATCCGCCTCTCCATGAAGAACTCCGTGAAATGAACAAAGTGCTGCAGCCTATAACGGGAGCCCCCACTGCCCCCCACCCTGCCCCCTCCCCTGGGCTCTCACAGGTAACACAAAAATGGAGGTATGCGAGTCCCCCGTGAGAGGGTCCGGGTTGTTGTCGACCAGTGTTTCTCCAGCCCACCCTTCTCTTTTCTCCTCTTTGACCGACCCCGCTCTGTGTCCTGCAGCACTCGGCCATTGTGTTCGCCGCCCCGCCGCCTCCACCGATGAACCCCGCACCGCAGCCCCGACAGGTAGGCCTTTCCGGGAGCTTACCGAGCCAGCGTGGGTGATCAGAGGTGCTCCTGATGCTCTTAGGCCGACCAAACGGCGGCCGGTGAAAGGCCTTTGAACTCCTGGTTCAAAAACCTCCTGTGCACTTCTTGGCATGGTTGCATTCTTCCCACGCGTTCACTTTGGAGTCTGAACTGAACTAATGTTACTATGTTAATGTTACTACTCTTTCCACAGTATTTCCCCTACGCTGACCTCACATGCATGGCCCAAAGGGTGTTGCTCTTAGTTTATCAGATCGATAGAAGAAGGCTTCTAATAAGCTCTTTTGAAGCTTCTAGTGAATCGCAGTACAGTTAGTCTGATGTCTCCGGGTGTTGTAAACGCGTAGTCTGTAGTCTTGGGCAAAAAGAAAATGACACGTTGATATTCCCGTTCATACGAAATGATTTTAATGATTGAAAACAAATCAAAGTAACTTGATTTTCCCTGAATGGGCTCATGGAAGAGCTTCAGGGCGCCGTCCTCTGAGGTTCCTCCGCTAGACCCCAGCTTTCCTACGACTGACTGTGGTGCTCTCTGTTTCTCAATCCCCCCCCCCCCTCCTCTTGCTTCCGTTGGGCCGTGTGCTGCTGAAGGGAGGCTTCAGGTCTCTGCAGGTAACCGCTTCTCTCTCTCCCGGCCCCCTTTTTGGCGTGTCTAGCTTTCTAGCTGTGCTCTGCTGGCTGGTGATTTCTGTCTTAGTTCCTCTTCTGTTTTCATCAAACTCCCTCCCTGTATTTCTTCAATTATTGTTTATTTTCTAGGCTAATGTTTAAATTACCGTTCATTCAGACATTAGCATCTTTCGGATAAAACTTAATTTTTAAGAGCTGATTTTGTTTTGTCTGTCCATAGTTCTTATGGTGTTTCATGAAGGATCTGTGTGCAGAAATAAAAGAATACAAGAATAAATTATATTTTTGGAGACATCAGTACGCTTCACCATTGTTTTGGCCGGTTTCGCTACACCTGTCCTCTCGCTCTCCCCCTTCTAGCCCTACTATACCTGCAGGGCCGGCCTGCCCCCCGGCGGTGGGCCCCGGGGAATCCCGCCGGTCAGCGGCGCCGCCCGCCCCGTGACCCCCACCCACCTTTACCAGGCGGGCCCCGCCTCCCAAATGATGATGATCCCACAGCAGCAGCTGCCCTTCCCCAGCCCCCCGCAGGGACCCGCCTACTTCATACCTGGACAGGTAGGAGGCTGGGCACCAACGCTGATGGATGCTGGTTCTCTCCACATTGCGTATTGTAGCTAACGCAGTTACATAAGCATTTTTTCTGTGTGAATTTATTTTATTTTATTTTGTGAATATGAATATGAATATGTTTTACTTTTAATATCTATTTCATATCTTTGTGTATTTTCGATTAATATGTACATACTTTGGGGAAATATTGTAACAATGTCATATGGAGACGTCACCGATTGGATTTTCACTTGATCACGTGATTCCTTTGATAGGAAGTTCTGAGTTTGTTTATAATTAGTCTGCGTGTGAAAGAGAAAAGGCAAACGAGTAAAAAATGGAAGAAATGGACTTCTAGCAACTCCTAACCTTCTGGTTGGAGGGGCATACGGTATGGACAATTTAGAGAATTATATTTTGTTTAATAAGTTTCATTTGATAATTCATGTAAGGTAACATGACGGTTTTATTGATGAATATTTTCCACCGCGTATTTTGCAGTGTTCACGGTGGTCTTGGGCGTTTGTATGACGGAAAATCCTTTAATAAACGTTTGGAACCATCAGTTGGATATTTGCACCAGTTAGAAAAAGTTGGGAGCAGCTAAACGTAGAGATTGGATTCTTTTTGTTTTCCCCCACTTGGCGCTTATCAGTGGGGTGATTACTGTCTTTCAGAGCTCTAACCGGTGCTCTTTTCCCTGTATCCCCCTTCTCGTTTCTGCCTGTAGTACCGGTCGCCGACCTACGTGCCCGCCCCCCAGCAATACCCGGTCCCCGCAGGCACTCCGGGCTTCTACCCCGGCACCAGCCCCGCCGAGTACGGCCCCTATGGTAAGAGGCTGTGCCCGGGCTCGCGATGACGTGATGCCACCCCTGAAATGCTGTTAACAATGACAGAAAAAGGTCCGCCGGTTCCAGCAGATCCCTAAAAAAACAAAACAGGCCTCTGTGTGTTCCGTGACACCCAGACCGTAGGCATCGTCCGCCCCCTTCCTGTTTTATCATTTTGAAATGCATCTGTCTTTGATCAAGTCTAAAAGAGGGAGCTCACAAAAATTCGGTGGAGGTTTTTTATCTCTGAGACTCCTGACAGTTAGTCTTATCCAGTGCCTCTCCGGTGGTGGTTCTCCAGTCTTCTGGATCCTAATGGGCTTGTCAGCTTGTCAGTGGAGGTGCAGCTTTACTCTCATTCTGAGTCGTGTGTGCTCTGATAAAAAAAACAACTGATTAATACCGAAGCGTAATGAGTGGCTCGTCAAATGCTGAAGATTAGCCTTCCACGCGGGGCAGGGCCAGGGCCAGGGCCAGGGCCTGGTTTTCCCTGTGACGGGCCGATTCTGCTGCGTGGGGACTCCATCGAGTGGCGACGGGGTGTGATTGCTGATGTTCGGACACATTAGTGCTGCTTTCAGAATCGGTAGAGATCAGTTTTTTGCTCCCTTGGAGCAGTGACAGGTTGTAGTTTGTATTCCATGATCTTATTCTTAGACGGCAGGAATAAAATCCGAGTAAACCAGTTGACCGTGTCCCCAACAAATTCAAAGCGCTAACACTTGGTCAGTATTTTTTTCCATATTTGGTAAGGATAGGAATGGTAAAGCGTGGGAGTTTGACTTGTTTGTGTTACTCTGGTTCTCTTTTATCTAATCGGATAGTGTGTGCTTGGAATCTGCAGCTGCAGGAAAAAGAGTTCAGATCAACCTTTGCAAAATCACAAAGGTTTTGTTTTGGCGATTTCAACACCTTGGTGTGCAGGTGTGTAGTTTACTGATTTGCACAAGTGAATACGAAAGTCAAAAGTAGAAGTTAGTATTCTAAAGTTTCCTCAAGAGCAAAACCAAAACATACTTGGAAGTTTTTTGTTTTTTTTCCCATGGCTGCCATGTTTGGTGACATGCCGGTTAGCCGTCTATCTTAATGGTAGACACCGTGGGGGGGTGGAGGGGTGGGGGTAAACTGTAAACTGGAGTCCCGTCTGTTACTGTGGGGAGGAAGACACTGGTCATATGACCCTAAATAGCCTGTCCAGTGACATTAAGACACCGTTCCGTGGTCTTTGTCGGGTGGTTGCGCGTGAGCACGTTAGCTTCGATAACTTTACTGCTCCGACTCCGGCCCCCCTTACCTCCAAGTCCTTATCCAGCAGTCAGGTAGCGACTACTCAGACACGCCGCTGACGTGGTGCGGTGGTTATTTTTAAAACGCCCACCTACCCACACCGACTAGCTTGGCAAGTACTGCTCCCCCCCCCTACCTAGTGGTCTCTGATGTCTTCCCCGTTTCAGATCAGATGACTCGTCTTCGGTGGAGTGGCGATGGATCTTTCAGGCATATCAGAACCCCCCCCTCTCCCTTCCGAAGGGCCAGGCCTAACACTTTAACGGGCCCACTGGTGCAGTCCAGAGGGGGGGGACAGGAAGGGAGGCAGGAATGAGGAAGGTCACGGGGAGGAGCGAAACGCTGTAAGAGGGGGGGCCGCACGCTCGGAGAAGTCATTCTGAAAGGGCACCTGTGGAGGGGACAGCAGCAGTTAGAGAGGGGGTTTGGAAGAGAAACCCCCTCCTCCTCCTCTGCTTCCCCAGGCTGTCGAGCGTTCGGCCGGACTTCTACATGGGGAATCGCGGGTCTCAAGAGCAGCAGGACTCTGAGGGTAGGTGTCTTTGCAGCCCCCCCTGAGTCACACCTCGGCTCTTCTTTGCGGTATCCGGGACCGCGTCCAACAAAGGTGTCATTCCGCCGTCTGCTTTTTCTGATTTTGGGAATGCTCCCCCTTCTTCCCTCCCTTTTTTTCCCCCCGCGCACTCGTCCCCCTAGGCGCTGGGGGCTTTTGACTATATTTAGGCTGCGCTGCTTCTGGTCAGCAATGCCGACACGGTAACGCGAGTTAGACTGGAAGGCAGAGAGGGGGGAGAGAGGCAGAGCAGCGGGGAGCTGCAGCCAGGCTCAAAGAAGGCCTCCTCAGTTAAGGATCCCCCCCCAATCCCAACCCTGGTTCTGAACCGTCGCGAGGCCAGGTAATGGTTTGCATGGATTACCGACCACGAGTCGGTAGAAATGCGTCGGCTAAAGATTTGTCTGATGGAAAAGACGGAAACAGTTCCGTGCACACACGCAGAAAGTGTCTTGAGAGAGGAGGGGGGCCGTTCCGGGGCTGAGCAGAGGAGGCCGATGTGTCATGCCATGTCCGCCGTGCATGCTGAGCCCGTGCGGTCAGCGCTCAGAGCACATGTCACCGGTTGCAGTCAGAGTGTGTGTGTGTGTGTGTGTGTGTATGCAGGCAGCAGAGATAAGAGGCTCCAACTTCGTTTTCCTTTCACACTTCATTTTTCTCTAACCCCGTGGAGTGCACGTGGACGAGCATTAACTAGCAATCAATCACAATCGGAACTCATCTTCTCGTTTGTTTTTCAAATTTTTTTTTTATGGGATAAAGGTGGTCGTTCAGTTTTAATCCTCAGTATTTTTCATCGGTCTGCATAAGCTGCATGGTGGTGAAGGAAAGAAGGAAAAATGGGACTTATTTTAAACTTGTATATAGCAACACAAAATGTTGGCTCGTTTTTTGTGCTGAGTCATGGTCAGGCTCTTTGGATCCATAAGTTCATGTGTCATAGTGGTAATGAAATCATTCACTAATGTGTCTTTAAGGACTGAAGCTCTCAGAAGCTCTTTATTTCACGTCATAGATAATCTTGTGACTTTAGTTCGTAGAATTCTGAGGCTAACGGTTCTAACGAGGGACTGAATGTCGAAGGTAAAACTCTCCTTTCACTTTAAATTGTTTAGTCCCAACGTGAAGGCTTCTGGGTTTTTTTTCCTAGTGCTTCAGGAACTGGATAAACAGCACCGATGTAGAAAGAAGTGGTCATCACAGGCCCCGGTCGGTTTACCGGTGTCTCTCTGCTTTTATCCACAGCCGGGGCCTACTACCCCGCACAGCCTCAGTTCCCCCCCCCAGTGCAGCCGGCACCTGTCATTATGAACCCGGCCCCCCAGCAGCAGCAGCAGCAGCAGGCACCTCCCCAGTCCGCCCAACACGTCTCCACCAAAAGGGAGCGCAAACAGGTACAGCCAGCAGAGCGAAGCGCGAGGCGTTCAAAGCCCCGAGCCACGTCCGCCACAGCGCACCTTCACTCGTCCGGCGCGGGACCCACGGCTCTTTCTAGGGTTCGTTAGCTCCAATCTGAACCCGTCTACGTGTCACGTTTGGCCGCGACCTGTACGGTAGCGGAGCTCTGGCTTTAACAGGGGGCTGCTCTTTATGGAGAGTCCATCTGAAAACGCCTAACATGCGTGTCACCAACCATTTGGATGATATTCCAGATCTCAGTAAGCCCACAGCTGTACAGGATGTGTCTCATACACAACTGATGCTGATCTGAGAGTGGATCAGAGAGGAGGAAATTAGAAGTGTACTGTCTTCTTACAGTGAGACAGAACCTGCCTGGACTCAAATTCTCTTCCCAGCATTTTCTCACGTTTGACCACTTTGTGGGCGTTAGATTAAAAAATCATGAGCAAACATGACAGTTCTAAGCACCTTAGTGTTGTACGAAAGCTTTTGCCGCCACACCCTTTGTCTAACACACACATAAACAAAGTCTCAGCACAGTGACTGTAGTAAGATATTATTAAGTCAAACAAATCCGTTCAGGGTTCAAAGGGAAATTATAACAGCTTCTTACTGTGCTATGAACGTCATGGTGCTAAATCTTCTTACAAAGTCATCTGTCTGGCCTGAAGTTTTCAATGCCCTGAAGCAATTTGAACTAAAACGATTGGAATTTTAAAAAAAACAAACGCGGAGGTCAGCTCAGTAAAGCTCTTTAGGCGAGTCAGCTGGCCTTTAGGCTCTGATGTACGTGCTGATCGGAATCCGTTGGCAGTTTTCAGTGCGGTTTGAGAGCCCTGGAGACCCGTGAAGTCCTGTTACACACACTCCCTCACACACACTCCCCCAGCCGAAGCACAACCTGTTCACGTGCTAATCCTCTGTCGCATATCGGCTCCATAAACCATAAGGCCAACGTTGAGAACCGTCCAGAACACCCCCTTCCATGGGGCTCTTTTTCCAGAGTTAACACGTTTATGTTAGCAAAGGTGGAGCTGTGGCTGCTGCGTTCAGTTTTGGGTTGGAAACTGGAGGTTCCAGCATACAAACAGGGGGAAAAAAAGGGACAATAATCAATGGCAGACCCCCTGTTGTTCTGCCATGCGCCCCGATGTTTACCGGCACGTCTTTAACGGCCTTCTGCTGGTAAGCTTTTTCCCGGTGCGTGAGGCCTTAAGTATGTGGATCGAGTTTTATTAAGCGCCGTGCCACTGAGTCTGTTTCACAGGCAGAAAAATGCAGAGCTGTCACCGCGGGGTTGGTTGGAACAGCTGGAACACACTGCGTGTGTGTGTCTGTGTGTGTGTGTGTGTGTGTTGAAGATGCCTTACGGGCGTTGCAGCCTTGCTGGTTGGGAGAGCTTCAGACCTTTGCTCTGGCTCCGGTCTGGTCCGTGTGTGTGTGTGAGGCATTCAGTGCACACCGTGGGTGTGTGTGTGTGTGTAAGAGGGCACATGCTGTTGCATACACAAAATGAGGCAACTCTGTGGGGCTCTAAAGGGAGTACTGGCTAGCCCCCGGGGCCTCTGTGTGTGTGTGTGTGTGTATTATATAACTACAACCCTCTAGCCAGTTCTCTCCCCTTCGGAACCAGCTCGTGTTCAAATGGCCCGTTTTTCCTGCTCCTGTCTACTCGATCCTGCTCTCCCCAACAGAAAAAAGGGAGGGGGGTGAAGGACATGTCAGCACATAGCTGGGCTCCACGTGGCCACAGGTCTCCTCCCCTCTGAGCCGGAAGGGCTAGCCAGTGGGCCTTCCTCTGCTGCTGTGGCATCCCCTTCCTCTTCCTCCGCTCGGAGGGCGTGGGCGCGTGCCGGGTGGCAGGACAGAGGGGGATTGACCAAAAAGGGGGGAGTTCCTCCAGCGGGCCGCAGCTCATTTGGTAAAGCTAAAACTTTTTTTTTTTTTTTTTTTTTTTTTTCCCCTGGAAACCCTCCCATTCCTCTCTGTCATGCCCCTCCTTTTCTCCGGCCCCTTTTAACTGTCTGTTTCTCTGCGGGCGGGAGGGAGGGGTGGGGGGTGCGCGCATTCCAATACCACAGCTTTACAAGGGCAGTCCTTTTACGCCTTTTTTCTCTCCCTGTTCTCTTCAGCTTATGAGAGAAAGGGGGTCGGGTTGCTAGTTAGCCCTCTGATCAGCTGGGCCAGCTCCACCAAAACCCGGGTGTGTGTTTTTTTTTGTTTTTTTTATCGGAGAGAAAAAACCGAAGTGGGACTCCTCCGTGCCCGTCCGCCGTCCTGCTTTGTTGGATTTAAAGCCCCCGGCGCCGGCCGAGCTAGCCGGAGCCCCCGGGATGAGAGAGGCCCCGCCGCAGCTCAGAGGAGAAGAGCCGCAGACCGAGTGGAGCAGGTAAAGGTCAGCGGGGCTGAGCAAACACGTTGTCGGTCCCTACTCTCTCGGAGAAGGCTCGTGGCAGCTGGCGAACTTTTTTTCTGCTCCATTCCCGGTCCTGTGACTGCGTGCGTCACTCCAGTCAGCGGCATTCCGCCTCACGCAGCTTTCCGTGTACAGCCCCCCGAAACTTTTAGTCCCCATAAAGAGTGGGAGTGACGGCCCTCCGAGGCTGAATCATGGGAAAAAGTGCGTGCGCCCCCGATCCGATTGTTGCGAGTTCGCGTACTGCTGCGGCCGCGTCCGATTGTGCTTTTTTTGGTGGAGTCAGGCGTTTTTTTTTTTCGCATGCAGCGGCCTTTTTAACCGTTCGGTTCTCGCCGTCCGACAGATTTGCCCGGCAGCTGCGAGCACGTCCAGTTACGTGGCAGAGGAATTTTGCATGGCAGATGGCGTTAGAATTCCGCCTTCCTCGGCGTTCGGGCGGCGATAAACCTAGAGCCTTCCAGCCCAAAGCCGGCTGGAGGACGGAGAGGGGCTGTCGTCCGGGTGCACCATAAATGTTACTCTGCTAAAACACTTCAACTCCCCTTTCACCCCCCCCCCCCCCCCCCCCCCCCCCCCTTCATAAGAGCTTTGTTTTAATCTTCCTCTCCTGGAGCTTTTTCCCCTCCCGATATGTGTCTAGTTTAGGTCTCACCAACTGCTCCTCCACTTCCTGTACTTCGTAGGTCAGAATAAGAGACCCTAACCGAGGAGGAAGAGACATTACTGAAGAGATTATGTCAGGGGGCCGCAGCGGCTCCACCCCGACCCCCCCACAGGTGAGCCAAAGTGTTCTTGGCTAACAGTTTATCTCTTAGGAAGCGAGTTATTTGACATAAGAGGATTGTACAGATCAGTGCAGGCTGGTTCAACAGCTCTCAGAGGACAGGGGCAGCTCCTTTGCCGACTCTCGTGCTAAGTGGGATAAACGCCCAGTTAGCCCGTGCACCAGCCAGATGTTTGAACTTTGAAGCAGTGCCGGTGTGTGTACGTCGTGAGCCATCCATATCACGCTCACTGAAACTGACACAGACTGCCACTGCCACTCCTTTTTCTCAGGGGGGGAACAGGACATGCCTCGTCCCCACCACAAAGGTCATAGTTTTTGGTGTGCGTGTGTGTGTCTGTGTGTGTGTGTCCCAACAGATAGCCATATCTGGATCAGAAAACGCAGCCGTGCCTCAAGCCAACGGTGAGAGCCTCACAGCTGCTACACCGGCCCCGGTCGGACCAGGTGAGTCTGAGCAGCTTTAGCTAGTTTTAGCCTTTTCATTTGGCGTTAGCATTCCATGTCGCAGCACCTCTCTCCTGCCCTTGCCATCAAGTGAGTGGCTCCTTTTTATTTTCTGAACTGGCTTTCTAAAAGCAGTGACTTGGGGACCAGACCCCACGGCGACGGCCGTGGGTTGTTTCTGTCCCCTCTGTAAGTTGTGTCCCTGCCCGACTGACCACTGAGGCAATCCCGTCACGTGACCGTGGATCCCCCATGGTTGTGAAACGTCCCAGGGAGCAGACTCAAAGGCTGCACAGTAACTGTCAGACTGGTGGAATTTGAGGCCACCAGCTCCGTTTAGTACATCATTCTCTCCTCTTTTCTCTCTTATTATCTGTCCGTTTCCTCCTCTGCGCCTGAAATTTAAGTTTTTATTTGATAGCATCTTGTTCAGTTGGTGCAGAGACGATGTTAGAACTCCCTATAGCAGAGGGTCACTGGGCTCTGAATGAGGGGAGATTTAGCTTTTAGCATGGTTCTTGTTGACCCAGCAGGCCTCTGTTAACATGCTTGACTAAAAGCCTTCATTCATCGACATGAGTGCATGTTTGAGGTATTTTGAGGCTCCCAGTAAGAGCAAGGACCGACCCTCTGACTCACACTGCCTCCTGACCTTTCGTTCCCCAGATGACCGAGGGAAGCCTCCGCGTCCTCCTCCGGTACAGACCCCTGAGCTCAGTAAGGGCGACTCCATCCTGACAGAGGACACTGAGACCCCCGCCCCCCCCTTCCTCTCGCAGTCGGGGAGCACCCCGATTTCCGCCTTTGCACCCAGTTCTGTTGTCCCAGATGTGATGGATGCTCCCCTGCCCCCCCCTCACTCGGCACCGGCGGTACCTGCCTACCCTGCCCCCCTTCCGGACCCCATCCCCGTCCCTGCCTCCACCTCCGATGCGCAGCGTGAAACGGACACAGAGGAAGAGGTGGAGGAGCTGGAGGCGGAGGCCCACAGCTCTCTGGACACGCCCCGTGCTCCGCCCTCCACCACCAACGGGGTCACAGAGCTGGAGACGGACAGCCCCAGTCCCACGGACGAGCCCCTAGAGTCACCCATCGCTCAGCCCGAGGAGCTGCGCCTGCCCAACGGCCTCCCCCTCCCGGCCCCCCGGGACCCCGAGGCCCCCGGGGTCAGCTCGGCCGAGCGCGACGACAGCCCCATAGCCGAGCCGGAGGTCAGCCTGCGGCCGGCCGAGCCCACCGCCGCCACGGCCGTCAAAGCCGGCGTCCACTTCACGCCCGACACACCGGCCCCCGCCGCCGGACCAGATCCCGCCGCCGGACCAGACCCCGCCGAGCCGGTCGTCCAGGCAACGCAGGACCAGCCGGACCCGCCACACATGGCTCCCAACCAGATTCCACCCCCCGTGGAAGAGGTTTCAGAGCCCCGGCCCGACCTGGAAGTCGCCTCGTCTCCCGTGGAGACGCCGCCTGTCGCCGACGGCAAGCCCGAGCGGGCGCCCACCCCTCCCCCCGCCGAGGAGGAGCGGAGGGAGGAAGCCCCTCCCCCTCAGACTGTCACCCCTGCTCCCGTAGAAACAACTATGCAAGGTCAGTGTCCCGTGCCGGGGGTTCGTTGTAATCTCCAATGTTTGTGTTGGTCTAACGCTCCTCGTCCTCTTTTCCACAGCCGCCTTGTCTGTGCCAAAGAAGAAGAGGAAGATGAAGGATCTAAACAAAAAGGAGACCGTGGGAGACCTCCTAGACGCTTTTAAGGAGGTATGAGCTCACTGCGCACAGTTGTTTTCCATCTGTACAACGGGCATTTCTTCATGAAAGCAGCCTGGCAGTGAGGGAGGGAGGTTCTGACCCATCAGTCCGCTGCGATTGGTCACCTGGGCAAGTCCTGAGTGAACTCTCCGGGTGCTCTTTGGCCCCTCACAATGTAAACGAGGTCTACAGAATCTCCATCTCTGACCTCCAGCTGTGTCTGCCTGACAGAAGGTGGAGGCCCGAGCTCTTCTCCTTTGCGAGTCATGTGTTTCTTTGTTCTGGAGGAAATGACCATTCCAGTTGGACCAGTTTAAAAGACAGAATGCAAAAATCCCATTTTTACCACTCAGTCAGACAGTCTGAGCCCATCAAAGGGGCAGGGGTTTGACTCCTGGTTTCCAGGGTCCACCAGTGCGTCCACTAGTATGACTACCAGTATGACCACTAGTGTGTCCACCAGTGTCTCCACTAGTGTGTCCACCAGTATGACAACCAGTGTGTCCACCAATATGACTACCAGTATTACCACTAGTGTGTTCACTGGTGCATCCACCAGTATGACTACCATTATGACCACTAGTATGTCCACCAGTATGACTACCAGTATGACCACTAGTGTGTCCACCAGTATGACCACTAGTGTGTCCACAGGTGTCTCCTCTAGTGTGTCCACCAGTATTACAACCAGTGTGTCCACCAGTATGACTACCAGTATGACCACTAGTGTGTCCACCGGTGTCTCCACTAGTGTGTCCACCAGTATGACTACCAGTATGACCACTAGTGTGTCCACCTGTGTCTCCACTAGTGTGTCCACCAGTAAGACTACCAGTATGACCACTAGTGTGTCCACTGGTGTCTCCACTAGTGTGTCCACCAGTATGACTACCAGTATGACCACTAGTGTGTCCACCAGTGTGTCCACCAGTATGACCACTAGTGTGTCCACCAGTCTGTCCACTAGTGTGTGCACCAGTGTGTGAATGTGCATGACAGAGTTCAAGCACTGGCTATTCTGAAAAGCTTTTTGGCCCCGCACATGCTGGGTGGGTGAATGAGTCACCCACTCACCCACCCAGCATTTTTAGTCACCCTGTGAGTAGCTCCCTTTACTCTGGTACGGGCAGCTTCATGCTTCTGTTCTGCTCAGTAAGATGAGAACAGACACTGTTGCTGATTTGAGATGTGTTCCCTCTTTTTGCCAACAGCAGCAGGTAGTTGTCCCACCAGCTCCAGCTCCAGCTCCAGTTCCAGAACCACTCCCCCCCACTGCTGCTTCTCCCCCCTCGCCGGAGGAAGCAGACTTGACCTGGGAGGATAAAGAGGACAAGCTGGATGCAGAGAAAGCTAACGCCGAATCCCCCAGTGACATGATGTACCAGTACAAAGAGGGTGTGTCTCTGGACCTTGCTACCTGTCGCTGATATGCACTGACCACTCAGTAATGTCCTTATCTCTCTCCCATTGCTGGGTTGCACATGCTCTGCTCTCTCCTCTTACCTATTAGACTTTTCTACAGTGAGCAGGTGTCCAAAGTCTTCATTAGACGTTTGAATTGACTGCTAGATCCCAGACAATCTTCCGCTCTTTGTTTCAGAACAATGGAAGCCGATCAACACAGAGGAGAAGAAGAAATACGACAGGGGGTTTCTTTTGGGATTCCAGTTCATCTCGGCCAGCATGAACAAGCCTGCAGGCCTGCCGGCCATCAGTGACGTGGTCCTAGATAAGGTGCAAACACTTCAGCTGGCCTCATGAACGCCATACACAAGCCAGGATGTCCTGGAGGACAGGTTGTTTTCTCACATTCAGGGCAGTGATAAAGTGCTATTACAATTTAGAGATTCACATTAGCAACGAAGGATATCAGCCAGCCAGTCCTGAGTTCTCTCGATCCAGGCAAACACAACTCTCCTCCATCTGCCGGACCCCAGACACAATACTGAAACGGTGTCTGTGTCCTTTCCGCTCTCTTCCCTCCCAGTCTCCAGGTGTGGGTGCGGGTGCGGGTGCAGGTGTGGGTGTGGGTGTGGCCTTGGCCATGGGCCCCCGCCGCTCCCAGCAAATGCAGCGCAAAGAGCCCCGGAAGATCATCACCAGCATGTCCCTCAGCGACGACGTGCAGCTCAACAAGGCCGAGAAGGCCTGGAAGCCTTCCCAGAAGAAGCCGGGGCGCGGCCGCGGGGCGGAGGAGCCCGCCGAGAACGACCCCGAGCACCTCAAGACCCAGGAGCTGTTCAAGCGGGTCCGCAGCATCCTCAACAAACTCACGCCGCAGAAGTTCCAGCAGCTGATGAAGCAGGTGTCCGACCTGACGATCGACACGGAAGAGAGGCTCAAAGGAGTCATAGACCTCACCTTCGAAAAGGCCATCTCCGAGCCCGACTTTTCCGTGGCCTACGCAAACATGTGCCGCTGCCTTTCCGGGGTAAGTGGTGCCCCCCTCAGCACATATAGCTGAGCCATCAGCTATGAACGCCCTCGGCCATCAGCCCAGACCTCCATTGTTGCTTTAGCCATCAATTCAAAGACTGTTCTGTGCCAGAAATACAAGTTTTACAATCTTCAGAAACCCCATCTGTATCTGTAGCCGTCAGCTAAAGGGGAGAAATGTGATGAGGCGTGTCGGCGTGTATGCGTACAGTACATGAAATCATGAAGCTGCGGTAGAACCCATTTCCACCACAAAAGAGGTCTCCTTTTTGTCCTGTTTTTCTGTTCTGCTGATCCCACAGAATGGATTCAAACGGATCACCAGAATGCTGAAACCTTCCACAGAAACGTGTTTGGTCCACGATGCCTTGCAGCTTTTCTAATGACTGCTTCAGATAAAAACTCGCATATCGACCAAAGAATAGTTTAGTGAATGTTGGGATTAACGTGGAAAGAAGCAAGATTAATAAATCCCAGTGTTGCTCCACGGAATAAAAATAACAATCCCGCAATGACCTCAGCTAAGAGCCACGAGTGTGGGCCGCTGGTCCAAGAGATGGGAATGAGGAAGCGCTTTGAAACAGTGTAGACTGAGTTCCTTCTTTTCTAATATGCACTCTTATTGATGTTTTCAGCTCAAGGTCCAAGCCACAGATAAGCCGGGACCTCCGGTGAATTTCCGCAAGCTGCTGCTAAACTGCTGCCAGAAGGAATTCGAGAAAGATAAGGACGACGACGAGATCTTTGAAAAGAAGCAGAAGGAGCTGGAAGCCGCCTCTGGGGTACAGTTCTGCAGCACGAAAGCAGGGTTGAGTCGCTTAGCTCCCACACAACAGAGCCGATAAGACTGTGTGAGCCGAGGGACAGCAGGTCAGACATCTGGTTCTCTGCTCACCTCTGTGCTCCGCGGGTTTTCTCTTGTCAGGGGGAGGAGAAGCAGCGGCTTATGGACGAGCTGGTGGAAGCCAAAGACAAAGCCAGGAGGCGCTCGCTGGGCAATATCAAGTTCATCGGAGAGCTGTTCAAGCTCAAAATGCTCACCGAGGTCATCATGCACGACTGCATCGTGAAGCTGCTCAAAAACCACGACGACGAGTCCCTGGAGTGCCTCTGCAGACTGCTGTCCACCATCGGCAAGGATCTGGACTTTGAGAAGGCCAAGGTACGAAATCCCCTCCCCCCCCACAGACAGGGACGTGTGTTTGAAACTCAAACACACGCCAAAAAAGTGACCACCTGCTCTTTTCTTTAGCCTCGTATGGACCAGTACTTCAATCAGGTGGAGAAAATAACGAAAGAGAGGAAGACCACGTCCAGGATCCGCTTCATGCTGCAAGACGTGCTGGACCTCCGGCGGGTAAATCCAGACACAGAGCGGTCCACCCTGTTAGTGGCTGTTACCCTCTAGGGCCTAGTCACACGGACTTGTTCGGTCACGTCACGGGAGCTCTCCAGAGCATGTGGCGGCTTAGTTGTTACGTGTTAAAACATGGGGGTGTGTCACAAAGTGTTTGTCATACATCAGCTCAGCCCCTCTGCCTCTGCTATGGGGGTCAAACCTTTCACATGCCAATAGTTATGGCCTGATGCAGTTCGTGACTTGGGGCCATTACCAGCTTTTTTTTCTTCCTCCTCTGCTTGCTTAATTAGCAACAAAAACTCTGTGTCGCCGGAGTTTCTTGTTTGTGTGATTCTGTGGAATGGCTTCTGGTCCCTCCCGCTCAATCTTCCACTGCTTCGGCACTCTGTGTACCTCTGTTAGTCCAAGGGACACATATGGGCTCCGTCAGTTGAGTGCTGGTCTGTATAGTGACATGTGGAAGAGGGTACAACATCGCTATCAGACCTCTGATTCAAAACTAGTCCAAAATAATAAAGAGATGACACCAGCAGTGCCATGAAGGAGATATTGGACTAAAGTTCTAGAGAAAACTGAATTCACAGCTGAGTGACAAATTTGTGATATGCAGGAAAGTTAACAAAAGACAGAAACAGTCTTAGAATATTGGGAGCCTTATTCATGTCGATATCCTCCAAATAGTGCACACGTCTTCCACCAAATGAATAAAACTTTATTGCAAAACTACAGTCACACGGCACAACACGCTTGTGTGTCGGAACCAGTTTGAGCCACTTGAAGCTAAAGCTGAGGGGCCTCTGAGGGGCCTCTTTGGGGCTGCAGCACGTTTCCAGCCCGGGCGGAGCTCAGCTCAGGCTGTAAGAACAGGTGTGTCACACACCTGACCAGCCCGCCCGGCGGCCCGAGGCAGTCGGTGTCCTACAGCCTCAGAGCAAGTACGTCTGGCTGCAGACTGTATGAAGCCAAGGATGGATAGCCAACTTATCCCACATCCAAGTCGGCCATTTTTATTACGGCACCAATAGGAAGATCCCAGGCAAGGAAATCATCATTGCTTCATGGCAATATAGACATTCATTTAAAAATAGTGAAATTAATCTTGCAGACACTGAATTAAACTCTATACATAATATTAGGTTTAAAAAAGTGTATGTTAAATAGGTTTGTACAATAAGTCCAAACAAGTTTAACCAAAAAATATTTATTTCTCACAATTATGGAGGGTTAGGATTAGGGTCAGGGTTATGGTTAGGGTCAGGGTTAGGGTTAGGACATAATTTGTCTTCCGATTTCATATAGAAATCGGAAGATATATAGTTGGATATCCAACCCAGTTGTCCTACAGACTGCAGCCAGAGGCTACTCCCTCAGAGGCCCTTTGTTTAATCTCTGCCCCTTTTTTCGTTCCCCGTCTCAGAACAACTGGGTCCCCCGGCGAGGCGACCAGGGCCCCAAGACCATAGACCAGATCCACAAAGAGGCTGAGCTGGAGGAGCACCGGGAGCAGATGAAGGTGCACCAGGCCCTCATCTCCAAGAAGGAAATGACCGGTGGCCCTGGGGGCAGGATGGGGGGAGGAGGAGGAGGTCGCGGGGGCCGCAGCGCCGCGCCTCAGGACGAAGGCTGGAACACGGTTCCCATCTCCAGGAACCGACCCATTGACCCCTCCCGCCTCAGTAAAATCACCAAGGTAGGTAGGAGGGGGCCGCCAGGCCTCTCCGTGTGGTTCATATCCGTTCCGTGTGTGTCGCCGGACCCAAACACACGGTCTCCGTCTGTGATTCAGACTCCCGTTCTGGACTTCAACAACCAGCTGCTGGCTCCTGGTGGTAAAGGCACTTGGGGGAGCTGGGGCAAGGGCAGTAGCGGGGGCTCCAGCGCCAAACCGGCAGATTCTGGTAAGTCTGCCTCACAGGCCTACAGAACAATTAGAATTTTGTGATAAAGTTCTTTATTTTCTGTAATGCAATTAAAAATCATGAAATGTCATACATTCTGGATTCATTACAAATCAACTGAAATATCGCAAGCCTTTTATTGTTTTAATATCGCTGATTATGGCTTACAGCTTAAGAAACCCAAATGTCCTATCTCAAAATATTAGAATATCGGATTTTTGAGTTTTCTTCAGCTGTACGGCTTGCGATATTTCAGTTGATTTGTAATGAATCCAGAATGTATGACATTTCATGATTTTTAATTGCATTACAGAAAATAAAGAACTTTATCACAATATTCTAATTTTCTGAGACAGTCCTGTACATTTAGCCCACTTAGATGTGAAAGTCAGTGTGTCAGTGTGTGTGTCATTTCGTCTGCAGGTTCTGAATCAGGCAGCCGTCCGGCCGCCAGCACCCTCAACAGGTTCTCCGCCCTACAGCAGCCTCCATCCCAGCCGGGCTCCTCACTGGAGCCGGACAGAAGAATTCCCCAGAGGTGAGCCACGGGCCTCCTCCTCCGCGGAGGCTTTCCCTTCAGAGAGGCGGTTCCATATTCACACATGAATCCAGGAACGCAGATCCCACGAGGGACTGAGAAGATGATTTTTTTAAAAGGAAGCAACTTGCTGACCTTAAAGCCACGTGTCTTTATCGTGGGTCTGGGGCACTGATCCCAGACCCAGACTAGGCTTGTCCCGATCAGATATTTGGATTGGATCGGCTGCCGATATTCTAAAAAAAAATGCGTATCGGCCGGCAGGAGAAAATGCCGATTCAGTTTTTTTTTTTTAAGTCCGTTCCCACACGAGCATTAACATATCCTAACCCTAAGCCTCCCTTGGCAGAGCAATTTTGTTCAGCATAGCCCGGTACTCATATTTCAGTTCTGCTGCCATAATGCTGAACAGGACAAGGTAAAAAGAAAGAAAACAACATAAAATGGATATAAAAACAGGGCTTTTGGCTTTTTGTTTTTTTCAGAAACAGCTCCAGCCGGGAGCGCGGCGAGCGCTTCGATCGGCGGGACGAGCGCAACCGTCTGCAGGTCACCAAACGCAGCTTCAGCCGGGAGGCGGAGGAGCGGAGCCGGGAGAAGGACCACCACGGATCAGCCGGTGCTGCACGCAAAGGAAGCAGCACGACCGACGACAAACACCGGGGCAGCACAGAGCGGGCCAGGAGCAAAGAGAATGGTGTGTGTGGGTGTGTTTGGGGTTGGGGGGTGTCACCAGAGCATGCAGCCCATCTGTGAAGACCGGGGGTTGTAAATTGCCTGTTGCCCGTACGTTCCTGTTCCTGACATCCTTTCTGTCTGTCAACAGTGAAGCCAGAGACGGCCGCTCCTCGCCCTCCCCCCCAAACCGCCGCCAAACCAGCCTTAACAGAGGAGGAGATGGAGAAAAAGTCCACGGCTATCATTGAGGAGTATCTCCACATAAACGACATGAAGGTGCGTTCACGGCATCATTTCACGTGTTTTCAGGCGGTTCTCGTGCCCCTTTAATCGCTGGTGCTACAGCAGAAGGAGTGGTGTGGGGGTCGGGGGGAGATACAAACAGATGAGAGCAGCATTCACGTCTAGGGAAGTCCCAATCCAGCTTTTTGCACTTCCGATACCGATCCAATACCGATCCCGCCCTATCAGAGCGTGTATTAAAGTTTAAAGTTATTTAGCCTACTTACTTAGTTGTCAGACTCATGCTGAACAGGGATTTACTCTGATAACAACTTAATGGTTAGGACACAGACCTGTGGGTTAGAGATGCTAATGCTCGTGTGCTGGAAAATGACGGGTCTGGATAGTAAGGAACAACACAGCAAAATGGAATGGATCATTTAAAAAAAAACATGGATCAGACTTTTAAAAAAAAAACTGTATCGAGGGTCTGGATCGGCATTTTCTCATGCTGGCCGTTTTTTTGTTGCAAATATCGCCGTCCGATCCGATATTTGGATCGGATCGGGCTGAAATCCTACCCGCGTTCCCACGTGCGCCGCTGTTTTCCCGCAGGAGGCGCTGCTGTGCGTGCAGGAGATGGCGAGCGCCCAGCTGCTGTTCGTGTTTGTGCGGAACGGCCTGGAGTCCACGCTGGAGCGCAGCGCCACGGCCCGGGAGCACCTGGGCCTGCTGCTGCTCCAGCTGCTGCGGACGGGCAGCCTGCCGGCCGCGCAGTACTACAGAGGGTCAGCGTGACATGCACCGCCCTGCCCCCACACTGGACATTGGATTCTGACTCTGATTCTGAACTGTCGATTTTTTTTTTAGGCTTCAGGAAATTTTGGAGGCGGCCGACGACATGGAAATAGACATCCCCCACATCTTCCTCTACCTGGCGGAGCTCATCACTCCCATGCTGCACGAGGGAGGCATCCCCATGGGAGAGCTTTTCAGGTTCGGGGTCCCTCGCCTTTTTTTTTCTAAATGACGCTCGCCTCGCTCAGCTTCACGTCCGGCTCACGCTGTCCTGTTTGGTCTCCAGGGAGATTTCGAAGGCTTTAAACCCCGCGGGCAAAGCCGGGGTTCTGCTGGCCCACATCCTCACTTTACTCTGCAAAGGAATGGTGCGTTCTTTACCATTTCATGTTTCGAACAACTCCTTACACTGGACGTCGACCACTGTCCGTCTCTCTTGTCTTGGCCTTAACGTGCGCTTTTCCCCAAAAAAATCTCTCCCAAATTTCCCCTCAGAGCCATACCAAGGTAAGCACAATGTGGAGGGAGGCGGGCCTTAGCTGGTCAGACTTCCTGCCGGAGGACCTGGATGTCAACAAGTTTGTGACAGAAAAGGTGAGAGGGCACCCCGTAACCTGTTTAACACAAAGAGAAAGAAATGTTGATAAGCTCAATTTGATTCAGAGTGAGGATGAACACTGGATGTGGCTTTGTTTTACATTAGGGGGTGCAAAAGATAATGAGAAGTGGGTTGCTAAAAAGGCCTGAAAAGCATCAGTTTAGGTTCCTCTAAAAGGTGTTTTTAAAATTGTTTTTATTCCCTTTTGCAGCTGTTTGAAAGTCTCTCTGTAGGATTTCACGTGTGATGTTTAGCTACAAATATTACAACATTCAATTATTCCAAATCTTTCTAACCTCAAAAGGAGTTTGAAGGAGCATGACCAGCATCATTGTTGCTGTTCTGTCTTCAGCAGTATGAAGAATTATTTTTATTGTCCTGCCATGCATGTTATCAGTCGCGTTTTTTTTTTATTTGCATTATATGTCAGGCGGAGAATAAAGCATCAGCTGAAGTCAGAGGCTGTTTGATAAGCCAATGGCTTCTGCTTAAGTGGAGAGTAGTTTACTGATGTGTGGCCCTAAAGCCCCACACGTAGAGCTCCTCAGGAAATGGCCTCTCTGCCCCGCAGAATGTGGAGTTCACTCTGGGGAAAGAGTCGGAGGGGGGCCGGAGTCGGGAAATGAGCTCCGCGGAGCTGACCAAACAGCTGGACAGACTGGTCCAGGACAGGGCGGACAACCAGAGGATCTTCGACTGGGTGGAGGTTTGCATCGCCGTCTTCATTTTGCTTTGTTGATTTTAAAGCACCGTAACGGGGGAGAAAAAGAAGCCCAAAAAAGTTTGAATGTCTTAAAGCAGTTTGCTGACCTTAAAGCCACGTGTCTTTATCGTGGGTCTGGGGCACTGATCCCAGACCCAGACTAAGCTTGTCCCGATCAGATATTTGGATTGGATCGGCTGCAGATATTCTAAAAAAAAAAAGCGTATCGGCCGGCAGGAGAAAATGCCGATCCAGAGTCCCGGTCCAGTTTTTTTTTTTTTTTAAGTCCGATCCCACACGAGCATTAACATATCTCCTAACCATCATGTGTTTTTTCTCGCCGCAGGCCAACCTGGACGAGCAGCAGACCTCGTCCAGCGCGTTTGTCCGGGCCCTGATGACCAGCGTCTGCCAGGCGGCCGTCGTCTGTGAGTAACACCCCTCCGTCCGTCCCCACCGGTGGTGCTAAACGAGCCGCGAACCAAAAACCCCTTCCCCTTCCCACCCCGCAGGCGGGAGCCCCTACAAGGTGGACGGCGATTTGCTCAAGCAGAGGGCCAGGCTGCTGCAGAGGTACCTGAAGGACGAGCAGAAGGAGCTGCAGGCCCTCTACGCCCTGCAGGCCCTCATGGTGGAGATGGAGCAGCCGGCCAGTGAGTAGCTCAGGTCCTCCTCATCACAGCCCACCAATCAGAGGCCGGCAGCACCCCAGTCCTGACTGACAGGGGCCTTTAGCCTTTAGCGTGAACCGCGTTGATCGTTTCTCATCTTTTCCCCTCGCCAGATTTACTGCGGATGTTCTTCAACACCCTCTACGACGTGGACGTGATCAAAGAGGAGGCCTTCTACAAGTGGGAGTCCAGCAGAGACCCCGCCGAGCAGCAGGGGAAGGGCGTGGCCCTGAAGTCGGCCACCGCCTTTTTCACCTTCCTGCGTCAGCCCGAGGACGAGTCTGACAACAGCTAGGGCCTATGGGGGGGGGGGGGGGGGGGGGAAGGGGGGCAGAGAGTCCCTGGCGTTTTCTGGATTCAACTAAATCCTGAAACAAACAGAAGAAATTAGAAAAAAAAAATCTTCAACTGGGAGAGATTGTATTACAGATCGAACGTTCGATCATTATTTAGTTGTTTTTTTGTTTTTTTGGCTTTCTTGCGTTTCCCTGGCAACAGAATGTGTTCTTTAATTAAAAGAGAAACGGGATGAAGCGGAGAATAAATCTAAGAGGATGCTGAGTGGAGTTACAAGCTGTGGGGGGGTCATTTTGTTCAGCTTGTTTTCGAATGGCAACGCCATTGAAGAGCCCCTGAAACAGGACCTGAGTGCTGTTCACAACTCTGTTTTTGAGGAACTGTTTTATCCTGATCTACACAACGTGCTTCTGTAGATGACTAGCTTTTTGTTTTTCCAGCTTTGGACAAGTGGACTGAGCGTTTTATAAAAATAAAAAAAAAGGAAAACTACAAAGAGGAGCAGAGGGCTGTGGACCTGGAGGGGACTTTATGAGAAGGGTGTGGCTGAGGAGAGGACTGGGAACATCATTTTTTGATCGTTTTGCTGCTGCTAGAGCTGGATTTCTCCCTGATGCCCTCAGAAACCCACCTCCAGTGTGTCTGTTTCACTCTCCTGTGCTTCAGAAAAAGCACCTGGACTGACGGGGAGAGCACAACCCCCCCTCCACCCCACCAGAGCCTGTTGTAGGATTTAAAACAGCTTATACTTGAATAAAGCATACAAAAAAAGCAAATAAAAAATCCACTTTAATGATAGAGGACTACAAAAAGTCCGGTTCAACTGCTAATTGAATGGCCTTTCTTTGCTTCCAAGAGTGGAAATTCATTTCAGGACTGTGTAAATATATGTTGAGGATTTCTTTTGTTTTTTTTCAAAGAAGAGATGCTAATGTAAACCCTCCTGAAACGAAGTGTTAGCCTTTCCCTCTATTTATATTTTCTCTCTTCAGCTAGCAGAAGCTGCTTGTAATCATCTGACTTATTGATTACAATTAATTGAAAAATTGTAAATATTTTTTTGCTTTACTTTATTAAAAGATATTTAATTAAAGAACACGAATGCCCTTTTTTAAATCCTAAACTTGAAGCGATAAAGACGGTGGCCTGTTCCCAAGTTTGTGATCAGCTTTGCTTTGGTCTGAGCATAGGATGCTTTATGTTCTGTGTATTTCAAGTGTTTTTATCCCCTCAGAGGCCTGAACGGGTACGGTTTTCAATCCTGTGTGACCACTGAGGACCCTGCCTTCTTTTGTTTAGCTAGCAGGCCGAAGCACGACTCCCAGGAAGTTAAAACCATCCGCAGTGGGCTGATGATTAAATGGCTGAAAATGTAGCTGAGGTAGGGTCCGGCACACAGCAGACTGTAGTCCTGCTTCATCTCTGTTTCACCTGGAACTCATCTGAATATTTTCTCCTGCTGTTTTTTAATGAGTTTAATACCTCTGTGCACGGTTGTATGGCAGCTATCGCCATCTGTTCCAGGTTCAAACCCCTGCTGGACGCCTTTATCTGCTTTACATCATTTCTACATGTATGTGTGACTAGAATAATGAGGTCAGCCGTTGATTCTGCCTTGACTGTGCAGCCTGGCTCTGAAAATATCAGCCCCCTCTACTACAGACTGCAGGAATTCCACACTGGCTCTGTTTGTGTGCTCTTCTGATCCTCAGTGTTCAGTGGGACTACACTAGAGGGGGCCACCGCTCCACGCACACGGCCGACACTTCCCTTATCGGTCGCAAGGGAGCAGTGGACTCCCACTACTCGATCAATTGCTTCAGTTTCTGGAACATAAGATTACATAAGAAAACTACTGTATGTTTGAAGTAAAAAAGCCTCAGTCAGAGAGCCTCACAACTTTTTAAAACATTTTTTCAGCACTGGATTTAAAAACATAAAGTCACAATTGGCTCCCTTTTTCAACAGAAGCACAATGTGGCCTCCACATTGGGCCCATTACTCTCAGATGGACTGTTCAGAACCCCTGATTCAGATGGGTGAGCACCTCCTTTGCCCCCAAACCTCACACACCCATACAGTGAGCGGTTTGTTTCAGGTCATATCGGTGTTCAGGGATCACAGCCCTTTAAACTCACAATCTCTAACATTTTCACGAGTAACATAAATTTATCAATAAATAGGTTCTTCAAACATGAAAACTGGCGGGACTCAAATGAGGGGTTTTCATTCACAAGATGCTCTCTGTATAGTAGGTGTCCTCACACACCGCTTTCCACATCTAGTTTTGGGTGGTTCTTTTGTTTCTGGTGAAAAAAAAATGGAAAAGACTCTCAGCTGCTTGTTCATCGTGGTGTTCCCAAACAGACTTTTCTTCCAATCAGCTCCTGGCTCACAGCTAAAAGAGGTTTCGGTAAACTCCCAGAACACTTTGTGGCATAAAAGTTAGCTCTTCACCTCTTTATCAGTGGTGCTGATTACTGATAAAGAGGGAAAAACACAGCTGCCCACCGTACTGTTTTTATTTCTGTCAATCCGTAAAGTATGAGCATTTGTAAATGTATTAATTCTGTTCTTGTTAATGTATTAATGGAAATGGACGAGCCAACTCCAGTCCTGTGGACCCTGTCCTTATTACATAAGTGTGTCTTAAGACATATCTGCCAGATAGTCAGAGAAAACACTTTTCCCATAGCTGGAGCGTTCACTTTCATATCTTTGAACTTTAGCACATCCTCGTAAATTAAATAAACACGATTAGACTATTTTTACCTCCAATCAAACCACAGTCTCCTCAGTCAGAGGTCGGTCCAACAGGTTTTTTTTATGTATTTATCGCGTACTGATAAAAGTAACAGGTGTGATTACTGAGAATGATCATTTCAGTCCCAGAGGGTGGTGGAGCAGGTCTCCTTGGCCATGGACCGGACAGCCGTCGTGCTTCTCCTTCTGCTGGGGACCAGTGGACTGTCCAGCTCCAAGGGTAAGACCAGAGGAACAACGGATGCTCCTGTGTGTGTGTGTGTGTGTGTGTTCTCATTTCACATGTTTTATCTTACTTCAAATCTTAACCATGACATTATGGACTCTAGTACTTTCAATTTTTCCCATTCTCTTTGTTTACATGTCATCGTTTTTTTCTCAACCCCGGTCCCCAGGACCAGAGTCCTGCATGGTTTCCCAGTGTCCAGACTCCTGATTCAGATGAATATGTTGTTATCATCCTCCCGCACGGCTGAGGAGCTGATCCACTCATCTGAATCAGGACTCTGGACCCTGAGGACCAGGGTTGAGAAACACCGATCTGGATCATGATATTTTCTCATATCATATCTTAACTTCTGACTCTTGATGTTTAAATCAGTGGGGTGACGGTCAGGTCTCAGGGGTGAGACACAGGTCAGATCTATCAAATCCTCCCTGTGATGGACTGGCCACCTGTCGGGCTGAACTCTGCCTCTGCCCAGTGTCAGCTCACATAGATTTAGCTGGACTGGATATAGAAAAATGCATTGTTTAATGGAGAATCCTGTCATTTCACCGGTGTTGACCCAGACTTATTTGTGACAGCCCAAAAAACATGTGGAGCGCACAACAACTCGGGATTAATCTCGTCCGGCCTTGAAACTTGCGTCGGTCAGCCTGGGAAATGTTGATGGACCAGTCAGATTTGAATCCACCCCTAATTCTTCCCACACTTCTGCAGCCATGATGCCTTTCAGTGCCTGTCAGCTGCTCCAGCTGACCATCTGGGTCAGTAAAGTTCCAGAAATCTCCTTTTTTTTAAGCTGGATAGGCCCACAGGTGGCTGCCATGACCTCTGACCTTTGGACCCACACCACCAGTCAGAAGCCTCCTTCCCAAACTCTCTGCCACAGGGAGGCAAGCGTCCTCCTCACTGATGAAAAGACCAGAATACAAGATAAAAGCATCATTAAAAAGTTAGAGGCAGAGCGGATAGAAAAAAGGGAAACAGTAGCCGGGTTCTTTTATGTTCATCTACTCGTAAATTTTCATTTTTACGAGCTGCAGTGAAAACTCTGGAACAGTCACAGATCTGTTACAGTTGAATGTTTTTATCAATAAATCCGCTGTTTGGTCCCGTTTGCTGAGTCAGGTTTTCTCTCCCCTTTTAGAAACTGTGATGTTTAGTTACAAACATTCAGAAAATGTAAATAATTTATTTTATTCTATTCAGCTAACCTTTTGCTGATCACAAACCATCAGAATCTGAAAATCACTTAAATAAGGCACATATTTAAATGATTTCCAGGCTTTCGGGTTTTGTTTTCACTTTGTCAGCGTACCATTTTGTTTTTATTTTCTGCTCTTTTATTCTTAAAAATGACTTTTACTAAGACACTTCCAGAATTTCCAGATCGATACATTCACTACAAATAAAGCTGAGCAACTCCTTTATGAGCATTCCCCTTGGACTGATATGGACTATCAGACTGATTACAGCTCCCAGAGATGTTCCACAGCAGATAAGAGAGCAGCTGTGCAGCAAACAGGCATCCTCACACACACAAACACACACACACACACACATGTGTCCCACATGACGTTCCTGTAATCACCTGCACAGAAGGCCTCTGTGACACTTTACTGCAATGTTTGCTCAAAGCATAAGGGCGCGCTGTACTTCAAAGGTGTTTTCTGGTGGCTTTCAGCTTTGGATGAATGAACCCAGTCAGAGCTCTTCAGGGACATTTTAACGACCGGATTAAGAAGACATGAGCATTCATGTGTCGTGTAGGTGTTAACCTGCAGGAAACATCCTTCAAAAGGGAGATTTTGGGTGTAACATCAGTGTTTTAAACTTAAATCTCTGGCTGAGCTTCAGCAGAACTGTGATGACTAAACAAAAATGAACTGGTAGAGCAGCTTATGACATAATCTCCTCTATCTTTTTCTTTTTCCACCATTTAAACGACCCTGCTATGATTGTTCTTCAGGCAAGGGGTCCCCGAACAGCATGTATTAATACAATGACTGCTTTGGCCTTCATGTGTGCCTGCAGGTGGGGAGGAGGACCCGGAGTACTGGAGGTCACAAGCGAGGGAGACTCTACAGTCGGTACTGGAGAGGAAGCCCAACACCAACGTGGCCAAAAACATCTTGTTTTTTCTCGGAGATGGTAAGTTACACAAAGCCTGAGCTGGTAGAACATCAGACTGAGACAGTTTCTCATTGTATTCGTCAATCTACCTGAAAAGGGGAAGCACAGGCTTTAAATTGAATTCAACTGAGCTGAATTGAACTGGTTTTGACTGAACTTCCCCTGTACAGCACAGTTTTGTTAGTGAGTCTATGGAAAATAAACTGTGTGAAGACGTGTGAGTGTGTGTTTGTGGTGTGTCCGTCAGGTATGGGAATCACCACCTACACGGCGGCTCGCATCCTGAAGGGACAGATCCAGAACCAAACGGGGGAGGAGTATGTGATGACCATGGACACCTTTCCTCATGTGGGACTGGCTAAGGTGCGTTCACGTTCACACACACTCTCAAAGGAATCTATGCAAAAACTAAAAAATAACTAATTCAATGTGAAAAAAATTATGACCATGGAAATTAATTTCTTATTTGGATTTCTGGGCTCATTTTTTTTCACGGTATGTGCAGTATGTTGTGTTTTAAGTGTGATTTGTGTGCCTGTGCTGTGTAGACCTACAGTGTGGATTTCCAGATTCCGGACAGCGCAGCCACAGCCACGGCCTATTTGTGCGGAGTGAAAACCAATCTGAACACCATCGGAGTGAGCGCAGCCGCTCGCAACGGGGTCTGCAAAACTCAGAAAGGGAACGAGGTCACGTCCATCCTGAAGTGGGCCAAAGATGCCGGTGAGGTCACCACATATGAAGAAACTGTGTCAAATGGTGAAGTGGGTTTTTTATGAGTTGCTGCTTTTAAAATGTGTAATATTGAGTTTTGGTAGACTGATCATTTCAGATTTAATGATCGAAATGGCCCCTAAGAGTGAATGAGTGAGTGTGTGTGGTTGATTGTCTCTGTGTGGTGCTATGGACTGACCTGTCAAGGGTGGACCCAGTTCTCCCCCAATGACCTGAAAATGTTCATATTTCCTGAATTCATCGTGTATATGGGGAAAAAATAAGCCAAAAACTTTGGCTTTGGCTTTTGTAACTGGAATTGATGTTCTCCTGAATGTCCATTTTTATGACCAAATCGACCCTCACAGCTCCAGAACAGTGTTAACTAGAGGTTGGATGTGCATGGTGCCCCAAACTTTGTCTTTTCAAGACTAAAAACTATTACCAAAGGAATATTCTGACCAATTTAAACGAGGTGAGACAGAACCTATGGAGCCACCTAATTCGATCATAATTCACTTTGTGAATTCACAGTGACAAATGAGCTAAACTTTGATCAGTTTGTCATAGAGATGGCTCAATGGTATGATTTAAACCAGTGTTCCCCACCGTATCATCATGGTCCTGCGCAATCAAACATGGGCCTTCTGGACCAGGTATTGGGAACACTGGTTTAAATTATGGATGTGCAAGTATGGGTTGGCCAAACAAGTCAAAAACTAGATTTTAAAAAAAGGTAACCGTTGTTATTTTGTGTTGCAGGCAAGTCTGTGGGCATAGTGACAACCACCCGAGTGCAACATGCGACCCCAGCTAGCAGCTACGCCCACAGCGCCAGCAGGAAGTGGTACAGCGACGCAGACATGCCGGATGCTGCCAAGAAGGACGGCTGCTCCGATATTTCATCCCAGCTCGTCGGAAACATTGACATCGATGTCAGTACTCAGATCAGATCGGTTCTTAACACACGATTACTCGCGGTTGTGCTAAATGTCTTTGAGTAGGTGGACATCTGAGTGTTGACGTGTTCCAGGTGATCATCGGTGGAGGGAGGAAGTACATGACACCCAGAGGCACCAGGGACCCCGAGTACCCCACGGATGTGTTGTCCTGGGGCAAAAGAAGAGATGGACGGAATCTCATCCAGGAGTGGAAAAGCCGGAAAAGTGGAAAGGTAAACAAAGTCAGTGTATGATGTTATTAGTCTCTGTTCTACTGATGATTGGTTCATGAGAGTTAACCAGCAGCCCCCAGCTGCTGCTTTACCCTCTGAATTCCCGTATGTTCAGTATTACTTTTTGATAATGGCACAATGCACATGTTGTTTTCTATCTGAGGTCAGATGAACTCGTTTTCAGATCTGACATGAACAGTGTATACAGCTTTAGAAAATAAAGAGGAAAAAAAGAAAATTATAAGGGAAGACATCCTTTTCACTTTAAATAGTTTGACATTTCAATTAATTTTGAAAGATGAGTCCTTTTTCTTGACATTATTTTTCTAATATTTCTTTAAGTACATCACAGTTCATTTGAGAAAAATACTTTATAGATGGATGAATCGCTCCCAGGTCAGGTTAGGAACTTTTGAATTTTAAAATATATTTCTGTGTCTCTGTTCCAGGTGGCCCACTATGTTTGGAATAAAAAAGATTTTGATGCTGTTGATCCTGAAACCACAGACTACCTGATGGGTAAAGTTTTGCCTTTTGTTGTTTAGTTGAATACCCCTTTTATTCTCATTTGCCCTGTCACTCGTCACTTTTTTTCAACTGGAGGTAAAGCTTAGCCTACTCAACTTATTTTAAAGTATACCACACATTTCAGGCACAGTTTTAATCCAAAGCGTTTTAAGAAGCAAGATTTTTCGACAAAAGAGCCACTTGAAATAACACATGAAAAAATAATTGAAAACATAGCGTTAGTAAATTTAAGATGCAAATTTTTTGAAAATCAGCACTCTAATGCAGAGAAATGTATAAAAAAATAGTGGAGTGAATGCAAAATAAACAATAAAACGAGCAAAAATAAATGCTGATTATTAGATAAGCAAATAACTTTATGTTTTCAATGAGTTCTCAGTTCCATGTAGAAAGAATATAGAACGTTCTAAATGCAAAGATAGTATTTTTTTCTCCTTTGTGGTTCATCACTTCCAGTGCGATACCTATAGCACGAGTGGGAGGAGAAAATGGGACTTTGTGTAAAGTTACTCCTCCACTGGGAGCTGATAAAGTGTTATGAGAATGAGTCATTTTAATTTGGTTCACCTCTACTTCTGAAGCTCTGTTTGAACCTGGCGATCTGCGCTTTGAGGAAGAAAGAGACCAGAGCATGGACCCGTCCATTGTCGAGACCACGGAAAAGGCAATCCGCATCCTCCAGAGAAACCCAAAGGGCTTCTTCCTGCTCGTAGAGGGTAAGGCTAACAGCTCCCATCACCCAATCCATCAGAGTTTGGATACAGAACCCTAAGAATAGACATTTCTCTAAAAAACTCACCTGTAGGCATACCTGGGGACAGTGTATTTATAGTTTTACCTTATCATGACTCACTTAAAATCAGGCACACAGGAAAAATTGAGGAAAAAAGTATCTGCCCCAGTTTTCTCTGCAAAGCATTTTTCACCAGTTGCTTAATTTCCTTAGTTTCTGCTGTATTTTTTGCTACTGAATACAATCCCATTTTATGGTATAGTCCTTTAAAAAACAGTTACATCAAAAGTATGATGCATCAAAGTCTGCTTTCCAGAGGTGAAGGGATGATGGGTGCATCTTAACCCGAAGAGCATTGACACATCTGTAGGGCATGCTGGGAGAACCCATCAGGGAGAACAAAAGTTAACCACACGTACGGAGCAAAAAACATCTAAAAAACAAAAGTCAAATTGATCTTATCACCCAGTATCCTTCTCAGGCAACATCGCTATTTAGCCTCTGAGTCACTTTCTTTGCTATGATTTTAATATAGTTAATATAAAGGTAGGAAGGACGGCAGCTTGAACCTGGCAGGGTAGTCAACTCTGAGTGGAAAGAGAAGGGCTTGAGGATAGAATACGCAGCCAATTCAATTCAATTCAATTCAATTTTATTTATATAGCACCACATCACAACAACAGTTGTCTCACAGCGCTTTCCAAACAGAGCAGGTCAGACCGGACTCTGAAGTTAACTACAGAAACCCAACAATTCCCACCATGAGCAAGCACTAGGCGACACAGGCAAGGAAAAACTTCCAATAAGTGACAGCTCACAGAGATCACTACATATGAACCCAGGTCTTCTTTTGTACCTTTCCTCCGTGTGTGTGTGTGTGTGTAGGGGGGCGGATCGACCAGGCCCACCACGCCGGTCGAGCGTACATGGCCCTGCACGAGGCCGTCGCTTTCGACGACGCCATAGCCAAGGGCCTTGAACTCACCAGAGAGGAGGAGACCCTGACCATAGTGACGGCCGACCACTCCCAGCCCCTCACCTTCAACGGGTTCCCGTTTCGGGGCCAGAGCGTTTTAGGTAATGACATTCCAACTGCTTTCCCTCCCCTGTTGTTAGATTTAGATCTGGCGGCTCTCCTCCTGCTCGCATCTGTATTTCCGTCCTTTCCTCTCTCTTACATTTTTTTTTTTTTTTACCTTGTCCTGTTCAGCATTGTGGCAGCAGAACTGAAATCTGAGTACCGTGCTATGCTGAACAAAATTGCTTTGCCAAGGGAGGCTTTTGTTGGTGAGAAGCTAACAAATTACCCAAAACTGCTTAATTTATTCATTTTTGTTACCAAACTTCCATTTGTCCAATAATGCCGAACCTGACAGAGGGACAGGGGGGAGGGAAGAGTAGCGGAAAGGAGAAAGATCCTTTGGAAAGAGAGAGAAGGGGGAGAAAAAATAAATAAAAAAAGAACAAGAAAGAAAGACAACAAGACCATACAACCATCTGCTATGTTTACATTTTCCTCCTAACTTCTCGCTCCGTCATGGAGCCATTTTTAGACTCTTTCGGAGGACGTTTCGTACTCGGTACCCCCGATTTGGGCTCTCGGCCTTCACCTCTCTTTCTAAGTCTGAATCGGTTCCCACTTTTATTTTTCCTCCTCTTCCCTCCTCATTCATTTCACGGTGAAGCTCTTAAGTTCTTCGTCAGTGGGAGAGAAACAATCAGAAACTCAACAGGTTTAAGATCTCCCACATTTCTCCTGGGACCCACAAACTCCCCCTTAGCGGTTTCCGTGTTTTCACCGAGTGTGTTCGTCCACCGGGCCAGAAAGTAACAACACCATCAACGTGATTGAGAGATCATTTCTGTGTTTTCCAGGGAAATCTCCTCTCTGGGCGACAGACATGTTACCCTACACGATACTGATGTACGGAAATGGACCCGGAAACAAACTCATTGACGGAAAACGTCCAGACCTCCGCAACGTCACCACAAGTAAGACACTTCTCTCCTTTGTCTTTTCAGATATTTCAGATATTTAATAGATTTCAGAAAATTCCCAAAGCATTTAACATAAACTAACTTCTGATTTAATTCTAATATAACACTTTCCAACAGCAATCTGCGACAATATTACAACACATAAGAAGTAAACGGTGTTGTGTTCACACACTTTTGTTCAGCCGTTAGGTGGAGTGATGACAGGACTGAGAAGTTTATAGGAGTGTAGTGGTCAGTTCAAAGCATCCTTTCTTTCCTCGCTGTGTTTTTGTGTGTGTGTGCCCATCCACCCATTCCTTTTTTTATACCTGCTTTTTACGAGAAGTGTCGATACCCAGGATATTTAACCTATCGGCAGTCACTTTTCCTCCTTGTTAAAACCACTATAACTGTCACTTTTTTGTTTTAGTGCAACATTTGCAATAAACTGACCCAAAAAATTGAGGAAGAAATTGA